AAAATACAAAGGTAAGATTTAAAAAAAAAAAAAAAAAAAAGAAGACTCGGAGATGAATGACATTCTGAGAGGTCAGTTGGCTTTTTAAAATTTTTACTCAAAGCCTAATCTCTAGGTTCAAGATATTTGAAAATATTTTTAAAATATAAAATATTAACAACTTTAAAATTAAATAAAAAATAATATTCTAAGTATTCCTCCCCATCACCTCACTTAATTTGACACACGAAAAGTTACGTACAGATCACCCAATTGCATAATTTTAAAGCCAACCACCTCTCCCAAAAGAGGGCGATTGGGGAGGAAGTTAAAAAGATCCAGCCCCCTCTTCCCCATTAATTTAGGCGGACCAAGAGTAAGGCTAGTGTAGTTGAGATTCATGTGTAGATCATTTAGTTGTTTTTATTTTGATGTACGTCACAAGAGAAACGCAACTCCATCTTTTTCCTTTCAAAAAAGAAAAGAAAGTTGATATAGATGAATTATAGTGATATATGTGATCTAGATTTTTGTGGCACTCTTCTTAATTAATGCTAGCATTTCTATTGCTTGGTGCCATTATTGTTAATCTCTTAGCAATATATATATATAAAACCCAAAAATTATCTTCTCCGAAAAATTTGTATGGGATTCAACTTGACTAAAAATAAAACATCCAAAAGTATTGCGGGTGTACACGTGATTTAATGAACCATTGTGTCACTTCATTATTTAACTATTTATCTTGTTTATCCTACTCAGTCATTGGTTTAATTTTAGGGGTTATTGTCATATAATTTATTTGTTTTTTTTTTTAAATTCGTATGATTTTATTTCAAAATCAATCAGAATAATTTTAAGAGTTTTTAAGAGATAAAATCACTATAAATTGTAAAACTTATATTTTTTTAATGTTAATTTAAAAGTACTGGAAAGAAGTAGATATAATCTTAAAAATTGTCCATAAAAAATCAATATGATTTTCTAAATATGCAGATACAACAATTTAAAATTAAGAAAAAAGTTTAACTTTAAAATTAAAAAAAAAATTATGTACCTTTAATGAAAGCTCCGACACGTGTCAATTTCCAACAGCGAGTCTTCATGTCCTCCAAAACCACGAGAGTACGTATCTTTAATTTAAAAAAAAGGCTTGGTAATTGGTCCGAGACTCAATATTTGAAAAAATTTTCTCATCCCTTCAAACCAAATAAAATCTCCAAAACTGAAACTACTCTTTACTTCAGCTCAGAGCACACCAAAAAATGGAGAGAAGCACGCCCGTTCGAAAGCCTCACACCTCAACCGCCGATCTGCTGACGTGGACGGAGGCTCCCCCATCTGCCTTCTCCGCCTCCGCCCAGCGTTCCTCTGGTCGTTCCAACCAGGTCTATTTCGATAACAATTAGATACACACATTTGTAATTTTGCATGCTTGCTTCGATACACATTTTCTTTATCTGACGAATGGTGCAATGAAGAACAGCCGTCGGATAAAATCAGCAAAGTGCTGTTTGGAGGTCAGGTTACCGATGTCGAAGTTCAATCTCTCTTGAAAAAGTAAGATCTCTTTCTATTTTAAGTTTCGCATTCTTTTTAAGAAAAATTTAGGGGAAATTTTGCATCTTTAGCTGTAAATGCCGTTTCATTTTTAGATATAAGCTTGAACTGTTTTCTTTTTGGAGTTTGAAATTTGAGTTTTATTATTTTGTTGTAAAAATAAGACCTTGAATTTCATCCTTTTCTTTTTAGTTTAGAAATGTAGAACCAGATCTACTGTTACATTTTATTGGGTTTTGTTTTTGATCTCTATCAAGATATTAATTTTAGTTGAAATATTTAGTTGTTTTAGTGGTTTAAGTGTTAATCTAGCTCAAGGTCCTACATTTCTCTTTTGAGTTTTTTTTATTTGTTTATTCCTTAACCGACTTGCAATAGAAAGGAAGAAACTTTGTCTTTTTATATGAAAGCATATATTTAATCATGCTTTATGGAGTACTTACATTGATAACTTATGAGTTGTTCGGGTCTTTTTTTTTTGTTAGATTTGATGGTTAAGCTGTTTTTTATGTGCTTCATTTGAAAATGTTGTGTTTGAACTAAGATATTTTGAGTTAGACATTGTATGATAGATTGCGGTATAGACCATGACAAACATAACGTTGGGTAATATATTTAGTTGTTATCATAAATCTCAACTGTCAAGTCTAGTTGGCTAAAGCATAGCATTAGAGTTGATTGCACTCTTGTAGTTTCCTCATTTATGTATCTTCATTATTTCCGGATTCTTTTGTCTCCATCTGCTTCTTTTGTTTTTTATTTCTGGATTCATTGAATGTGCGAATTGTGCTGTCCAACTCAGCTCATTCTGGTTTAAGACTAATATTACATAACAAGTTAGATTTGGAACTGATGTGGAAATTCCTTGGGCTTTTAAGTTAACTAATTTAATTTCATGCGCTTGGATTGCATGCAATTTTATTTAACATGGAAAGAGTCCAGCTCAAACCAATATTTTGACTTTCAGTTATCTGGTCTCTTGTAATGCTTATTGGATCGTTGATTAACTATGGATTATTGATACATATACTCCCAGAAGTTGGACTCTGTTCTAAGAATTTCATGACTTTGCATGAGTCTGTTGTGTTAACCAAATCGTTCTTTCTCATTTGTACTCTGGCATGGAGTTATGTAATATAGTACATTCATCAAGGGCCAGTTTGGACATTTGTGGCTATTATTCATCTGAGTCCATCTGAAATTGTTCACTATTGCTCTTTCAGGAAGCCTTGCTCAGGTTACAAAATGAAAGAGATGACTGGTAGCGGCATTTTTGCCGCCAATAGTACTAATGGTTCATCTGAACCTACTGCTACTAATCCTACTAATAAAACAGGATTGCGCATGTATCAGGTATCAATGATCTCCCTCGCAGAATGAGCATGATTGTTCACCAGTTGTCCTAGATGTAAATTTACCATTTTAAACTTTGGTGATATGATTTTCAGCAAGCAGTGAATCGAATTAGCCAAATATCATTCAGTGCTGATAGGGGTGTTTCTCCTAAGAAGCCTACCTCTCTTGCCGAGGAAGCGAAGCAGCGGGAGTTAAGCGGCACATTGCAAAGTGAGTCAGATGGAAAGAATAAAAAACAAATATCAAATGCAAAGTATAAGGAGATAAGTGGGCATGACATCTTTGCCCCTCCTTCTAAAATTAAGCCACATTCATTGGCTGCTGCACGCTCCACTGAATCAAGAGAAAGCAAAGATGTGGGAGAACCTGTGCCACGAAATGTGCACACATCTGTCAAAGTTTCAAATGTGAGTTTATCTTTTTTGTGTCTGATAATCCTTTCTCACTGTTTTAGCATTGGTAGAAAGTTAGAACTGTTTATTCAGTGGTAGTGCCTTTCCAATATGCAAGTTATTTTGGGGGGGTTTGGATGCGTGGTTGCTTTCCAATCAGTCTTTAACACAACATCCATTTTACTTTTAGGAGTAGTAACTTCATAGATTCACTACATTACAACTAAAACGAAAAGTGTTGATAAAGGCCAAATCTGTTAGTCCCCTCAGTCCCGCAATGACAGTAGAGGCTTCCATTATAAATAACACTGTAGCAATCCTTTATAAAACTGGTCAGATGCTTTTATGCTCATGTGAGATTGGGAACTAGCACATGTTTACATAAATTTAGGGTTAAACCTGAACTTTTTTGTCTAGCAAATAAAACTTTGTTTTTTCTGCATGCAAGAATTCCTTCAAACAAATTCCATTTTAGGCTTATCATGCCCGCATTCATCCACAACTTGATCATTCCAAGTGCTCCCTCTGTTCTTTAAGTTTTGCTGCATGCAGAACTATTTCTAGTTCTTCCTACTTCTCCATATCTTGAATTTGAAGTTTCACCAGTCATATAGCTGCTAACATTTGTTTATAGCCTGCTGGAGGTCAGACAAGTATCCTATTCACCGAAGAACCTGTTGTCAAGACGACAAAAAAGATACATAACCAAAAGTTTCAAGAGCTGACCGGTAATGATATCTTCAAGGGAGATGTTCCTCCAGGTCATGCAGAAAAACCACTGAGCAGAGCTAAATTGCGAGAAATGAGTGGCAACACATCTTTTCTGATGGGAAGGTGGAACCTCGAGATTATCTGGGTGGTACACGCAAGCCCCCTGGTGGTGAGAGTAGCATTGCCTTGGTTTAAATTGATATTACGTTGACTGTGTACCAGTAGTGTCTTTTGCTGTACATCCCCGTTTGAGTGCAATGTTGTTACTGTAAAGTGCCCTTGATGCCGAATGACAATCAAATTTGGGCTTTGGAGTAGCGTATGTTGGTTATAGCTTATGTATACGTTGTTATAATGTAACATTTATATCGAAACCCTAGTGATCGGCTAATGTAGTTATTTTAACAATTTCCGGTGTTGTGTTGTTAGTGTTTGCTCTGGACGCCAGACCAAATTTGTTTGTTGCTGTGGAATAACAAAAGGCCCTTGGTGAGTTGGTCTCTGATATGTTCTTGAGCATAAACCAAAGTATTTGATGTTAAAATTTAGCTTTCCTATGTCTTAATGGTTTGATGCATGTATCATGCATGCTTGTCATTGAGATCAAAGGATCAAATGCCATTGACAAATGCTAAAAGCTTGAACAAGATGACAAAGTGATATTTCCTATGATAACTGGCTTATGAAATCCGATTGGGTTCAAGACATAACTAGTTTCTAAGGATATTGCTAATCATTTTTTCATCCTTGCATCGGATATTGTCGCCTCGACTTCTGATGCTTTGTCTCCTCAAAATAAAACCAAAGACTCAAGTTCCAGTCGTGCGTAAAAATTGTTTACTTGATGGACACCCTGCTATTTTTTGTTATGGACCAAATAGGCTAGTACTTGTATCAGCTGCAGCATTTCAGTGACCCTGGCCTGCATTGCTTTGCAATCCTAATTTACTAAGTACTGCAAGCAGTAGTCGTCTTCATGATTGAAAAATGTCTGCAAAATACTTAAAAAGGAACACCCAACTCAACCACTTCATCTTGAAAGTTCTACATGGAAGCAGCGGAATACAAAAGCCACGCTTAGACAATAAAGACAGACAGAAATCCAAGACAACATATAGCTGAAAAGAAAACTAGAAATCCAAGCAAGAACTGAACATAGAAAACAGCTCAGACATCTCCAGCTCCAATCAACGCGAGAAGCATTCTCTCATGGTCTCCAGAAGTATCTCCAGCAACTGCCTTTTCCAGAGGGACACTGTTTCTTCGCTGATATGCCTCCTTAATTCGCACCATATCTACCTCTGCCCTAGTTGTGACGACTCTAGTAAGAGCCCTTTCATCTGTTCCTAACTTATTGATCGCTTGCCGTAGAACCTTCTCAAAATATTTCTCAGGGACAGTCAAGCACTTAATCACAGCTCTCAGCAATTTGAGAAATTCATCCTTGGGGTCAGCCTTCAAATCCTGCAAACCAGTATCTCATTATCAGTTTGAATTAGAACATACTCTTATTTAGCATATACTTATACTTTGCAAGTCTATTCTGCCAAATGCTATAGTGACATCAACCTGTCTAGACCACCAACTTTATAGTAAAAAAATGTTAACTCAAGTTACTGCTTTCGGTGTCTCATAAAAAGAAGTATTATTTCAAGGGCCATCAGAATGATTTCCGGACAGGTAAAGGATTGGCGCCCACTAAACTTTTATATTTGTTTTTCGTTCAAATTAATACTATAACTTTGACAGGCTGGACATATTCAAGAACTTATCCTTGAGCTCATATTAGAATTTATTAAAGAAAGTCTTCCTTCAAATTTTCCTTTACTTCCATATATCCTCTCATGTAGTTAAAATGGTAGGATGAACAACAAGTCTTCTCATTGTTGCACGAACACAGATAAATGATACAAATTTAAATTTTCACTCAATTTCATAAGAAAACTGTTAAGCAGGGCCAAAATAAATACCTTGTTGATAGCATTCCCAAATGCAGAATTATAGTGATTGAGAGTTGCATTTAGTTGTGCCTTACTCCTTGTTGTTACAATCCTGATTACCTCCTCATCACTGTAATGCTTGTCTGAGATCTTATCACGAAGTATCTTAGCCTCAGACTTTGCCAATGTCATGTTCACCTCCTCTCCCTCATATCGGAATGCACTAACAAGTGGGACCAAAAGCTGCACAAGCAAGTAATATAAGCAAACACTTCATAAACCACATTTAGATTTGTGTTCAGTTTTTAATTAATTTTGGTTAGATCAATATGTTCAAGGGATGATTTAATCAATTAACATGTCAAAGATTTTGCTGTCTATTCAGGCATTCAACTCAAGAAGGATAAAAGGGGGAAAATTTTCAAATTGCCCATGCCCAGGAAATTTAAGACTGAACCTTGCGATACTCTCCAGTAGTGTGGTGTGCTACATCTTCTTCAAGGGATTTCTTATAACGAGCATGATATGCCTTCCTCACATTGAATAGTTCATATGAAGACCTAGTGCAAGCTATTTCCATGAGAACCCAATTGCTTGATGTTAACCTCTTTGTAGCTTCATTCGCCAGAAATGCATCACGCTCTGCTGGGTCCAATGTAAATAGTAGCACAGCCCGCTGTTGGGTGTGGAAAGAAAAAAAAAATCCAAAATTAAAAAGTAATAAACCTTCTGAATAATAGCAAAATTACTTTCCCCACTTTCCTTTCAAGAGAACTGCAAACACTGCATACCAAAGCCAAACATCAAGTCTTGAACGCAAAATAATCATACATTACTTATTCCATTAGATAACTTGGCAATGTAAATCGTTCTCGTCTGAACAAGATTAAGACAAAGATATGTCAAAATCTGACCTCGAAGTCACTTGACAGTTCCTTATCCAAAGACGTAAGGAGATCTTCTCCATAAGCTTCACCATAAGCTTTTCGAATTGAATTACGCTGTGCTGCATTCCTGTGAGCCAATATGTCTATAATCAATTTCTCATTCGTACCCCAGCCTGCAAAAGATTATCAAAAACAGCTCATTGTCATAGCCTGTCCTTTGAGCGCACAGAAGCAAAAATTTAACAGGACATATCTGTTTTTTGTGTAATACAATACTTATAACCAAAATAGCACAAATTGAAATATTATTTCATTACCCCTTCAAATACTTAATGAGAAAAGAAAATGGTTCTGCAATTTAAGCATACAAATGCCAGATGATTAAAATAAAATCTAATGCTATGTTTGGTAGTAAGGGAGAGCTGAAAGAATGGAAAGGTCAATTGATCTACAAACTATAAAGGCAAAATCTGATGTGCCTAGACATATATATAATCAAAGTTCTGAATACCCTTTTAGTCTCACTTCAAATTAAACAAAAAAAATCTCCCAAAATATTAGGTTCTACAATCCCCCCTCCCTGCTTTCACCCCCAAAATAACAATCCAAAATATCAAAATCATTTAAAATGCAGATCAGATGGTGATCCAACACTGAAAGATCAAAACAACAGTGATCAGATCAAGCATCCATGATCAGTCAAAGTAACCATTTCCAAATGAACCTGATCACCATCATTTCTCACTTAGCTGATGACAAATCCCAAAATTTTCTTTAAAAAAAAAATTTTACTATCATATGACTGACTTCCAAAGATCATAATAAAAATGACCGATAACAAAACATGAAACCACCTAGGAACAAAGCAGATCAACCAAAATACATAAAGCCCATGATCCACTTCAATGTGCATGATCAAACATAAACTCAACAACAACAAATCAAAGTAAAAATAAAAATAAAAGATTGATCAATGACTCGATTTAGAAATGATAGAAGTAATGAAAGACCTTCAAAAGCTTTACGAAGTTGCTCAGCATCCTCAGAAGGAGCTGGAACATGAGCTGGCACTTTAAGGGTTGCCATTCTCACTCTGTCTGTTTTGTTTGTGGAGAATAGAAAACGAAAGAAGAGATTGCAGAGATAGCAGTGATAAGGAAAAGGGTGTACAGCCTTAACCCTTTCTTTATAGTGCAAGAAAAGTAATTAAATTTCATTTTTGTAGTTAAAACTTAAATGTTAAAAGTATTTTATGGTAATTAGGCATTCACATGAAAATTTCCGCCGAAAGTTTTGCAGCGCATTCTCTGGCAATAATTAAGTAGGGACAACAACAAGATATTTTCCTTACCTCTGATGATAATGTAAGACACGTGTTGCAGGTAATTGAGTTTTTAAGCCAACTGTTCCGCATTTCCAAGCGTTTCATTTTCAAATGGGAAAACAATGGATTGATTTGATTCCTTTTTCGGACGGTTTTGATGGATTGATCCATGTCTGATAATTTGTATGAATAATTTTAATGCGAGTATTTGAATGATACGATTTAATATAATAAAAAACGAATAATTAGATATGATTAACTTATTTATTTAAATAAATAGATATTATTTAAATTAATATTTAAACCCAAAAATTTATTTAAATATTAATGCTTTATTTAAATGATAAATATGATTATTAATTTATTTAAAAAATAATATTAAAATAATTTTTATAATTTGTTTTTTATATATACTTGCATGAATAATATAGTATTTTAAATTTGTTATCATTATTTGACATGTATAGGACATAAATAATATCGTAGCTTAATTATATTGACATAATTAAAATATAAAATATAATTATATTAAATTCATGTATAATTTTTTTATATAATTTTATATCATATTATCATGTCATATTTAAAATTATTAAATTTACTCTTTAATAAGTCATCAAATGATTAAGGTCATGCCACATGTTACTATTCGAAAGAGGAAAATTGGTCGTATATTAAATATATATTTAACTTTTAAATTTTAAAGGTTTTGTTATTTAATACTTAAAAATTTTTCCATCAAATGGATACATAAACTTTTAAATCATTATTATGTTAGTACTTCGGATTAATGTTGTTAGTTAATTTTATTAACCTAACATAAATATTGAATAAGATATTAATATGTGTCAAAAAAGTTTAGTTAGCATTATATCATCATTGTCATGTCAATATAAAAAATAAAAATTCTAAAAATTTTCAAAAAATTTTAATTTTTTTTAAATTATAAAAAAGTTAAAAAATTTCAAATAAATTCAACAAAATTTTAAGAAATTCTTTAAAATTTTTTAAAATTCAAAAAATTCTAAAATAATTTTTAAAAAATTTTATAAATTTAAAAAAAAATAAAAATTTTTAAAAATTATAAAATAATTAAAAAAATAAAAAATTCTGAAAATTTTTTAAAATTCTAACATTTTTTCAAATATTCTAAAATAGTTTCTAAAAATTTTAGAAAATTCAAAAAAATTATGAAAAAATTCTCAAAATTCTAAAAACTTTTAAAACCTTTCAAAAAAATTTTTTATTTTAAAAATTTTTTAAAAATTCTGAAAATTTTTAAACAAATTTTAAAAGATTTTAAAAATTTTTTAAAATTTTTTAAGATTTTTTTATGCTGACATAATAATAACGGTGTGACATTAATTGAATTTTTTTAGCACGTGTCAACATCTTTTAGATGTTGATGTCATGTCAATAAAATAAAATTAATTAATGATAAAAAAAATTTTTAGATATCTATGTGACAAATCAAAAGCATTTGTTTTAATGATAAATACACTTTCTTTTCTACTTAAAGAATCAAATTTTCATTTTCATTTTTCTTAAAACTGTACTTAAATAAAAAAAAATAGAAAAAGAAATAACTAGTGGCTCTCCATTGTAATGATTAGATTGTTCACTCAAATTATGAAAACACTATTAATTAATTAGTTTGTTGAAACTCCAAAGACTTTATTCTTCAAATATTTTTTGGATTTGTGGGAGCTTTGAAACAGACCTGAAGAATCAAAGTTTTAGGAACTTGTTAAAATGAAAATAAATGAATGGTAAAATGAGAGATAACTTCTGAATATAGAACAATGTATAGTAGGTAATATAAATTCACATTTGCAATTCTCATACCAAACAGAAGTCTACAAAAAGAAAAAGATTTTGTATACAGTTGAATTGCTGACTTATAGTATGAACTAAATTGGAATTGGTAGAATTAATATTGCAATGTTTTCAACCACAAGGGTGGTCGTTTCTTGCATGACACCTTGTGACCGAAAGAAAAAGAGGAAAAAAAGATGCAGAAAAGAACAAGAAAAAATTAATGGAGAGATAGCAACTTGAACTACTTAACCCGTTTCAAAGCCCTTTTTTTATAATCTAATCTTCTTCCTTGTTGACGTGTGGCCTGTCCCACTGCTAGAGCCAAAGCCAATTGTTTGGGAGAACTCTGAACTATACCTATTGAAGTCGGATGATATATCATTTTCAGCAATACAATAGTGAAAATGCATCTACTCCATTTTCATTTCCTTTTAATATCTGAACCAACTTTCTTTTTTAAACATAATACTACTGGAGATCAGCTAGTTGCTACAAACCAAGCAAATGAATATGCAGAAGAAAAAGAGTCGTGTTGTTGCTGATAAAGCATGGAATCTCTTGCGTTTAGCATTGTTATGGGCAAGAAAGGTTGGTGTGTTGAAGAGAGGGCTAAAGGTCAAGGGCCTTGGAAATAAAGCTCACAGTGACCAAATCCATTATCTGGAACGTCAGCTCTCGTTTGATAGGACTCCTGACTTCCATGTCAAGAAGGATCATCATACAGGCTCCATGCAGTTTCTTTTCCCTTGCGTAGGCGCAAACACACTCGAATTCGATTATGATATTGGCGATGATGAAGCTGGTGGATTTTATGGCAATTACAGCGGAAGGGAAATTTACTTAGAAGAAGAAAAAGAAGAAGAAGGAGAAGAATATGAATGCAATGGCTATGAAAAGAAGAGTCAATTAGAAGACGAAGGGATTGATTCCAGGGCGGAGAAATTCATAGCTGAGTTCTATGCTCAAATAAGATTTCGGAATTGACTAAGATAAACTTGAAGAGGCTACAATTGTATGATATATATATATATATATATATATATATATATCTAGTTTCTCAGGGAGTGGCAGAGTATCTTGGCAATCATGAATTGTTGTTTACAATAAGTGTTCCCCCCTTAATTTGATTGAGCTTCGTTAATAAAGTAGCATTGAGAATTAATGTTTATTGATATTATATATATATATATATATTTATATCCTCCATAGAAATGTCAATTAATTGAGCTTTTCATTTAGCAATAAGATGGAATTAACTATGATGTAAATTGGAAGGTTGAAGGGAAAATTTCAAGGCATATGCTATAATTACCAAGTACTATTTCCTTGAATTGAGTTCCTAAATCCTAAACTAAAAGCAGCGTGGGTTTAAACTTGAACTATGTTACTCCTTGGAGTAAATACAAAGTACAGAAATGCACTTTTATTACTACCAATACTGTTTTACCACAAGAAAGAAGCAATCAACACAAAATGAAATGCAGACTTCAGACTAGAACATCACTTCACATTTGGCACAAATTTAATGGTATAATTGGGCTCAAAAACAACATTCAAATTGCAATTATTCAGTGATTTCAACAACCCTAACTTTTGGCTTCTGTAGGGCTTCTTTCCCGAGAGTGAGAATAAGCACTCCATTCTCCATAGAACCCTGAGTCTGATCAGTCCTTGCATTATCAGGCAACTTGAACCTGCTCATTAAATTACCAGTCTCAGTGTTTATCTGAAGCATTCTGTCATCATCAATTAAAACTATGATTTCATCCCTGGCGACCCCTGGAAGGTAAGCATTGAACACATGTGGTCTTTGGGTTTCTCTTAAGTTGAATTGAGTCCCAAGGAGTAGGAAAACTTCACTGGAGAAACCAGGGAAAGGGGTGGAAAGGAATGAAGGGAAAGTGAAAGGGAAAACATCAGTGAAAGGGTTCCAAAGATCAAAGTTGTTAAATGGATCCCATAAGTCTAGGGGAAAAGGACTGTGACTGTGCCTTGATGGCCACTGATTGGGACAATTGACATGTTTCTTGTAGGTTAATTGGCAGAATGGGGCTGAAGGAGAGCGAAGGGAGCTCTTGAGTGCCTTGTTGGCCACTGATTGGTGTTTCTGGTGGGTTAATCTGTAGAATGGGACTGAAGCAGAGTAAAAGGAGCTATTGATTTTGGGGAGTAAAAGCAGAGTAAAACACTATTTTTCAAAGCATTCAGTTAACCAATCTCTTTCAATCCATCTCCTAAATGTTTAAAATTCTCGTGTCTTTCTTCCATCATAGTCCTGGAAGCGAGACGAGAAAAAGGAAGCATTGAAAAAAGGAAAGATTCGACTCCACTGGGGATCGAACCCAGAATCTCTGGTTCCGTAGACCAGCGCCTTATCCATTGGGCCATGGAGTCATGTTGGGAAAGGGTATCCATAATAAATATAGAGATTGAACGAAGGTGGGGTATCCACTTCACACCCTTCCTCACTTCTCCATTTTTTTATTTTTCATTTTTATATTTGTTTTTATTTTATTTTTAATTTAATAAATTTTATGAATAAAAGTTAATGGAGGGAAGATGGTGAAATAATCAATATATAAATGGTTTTAATTTACATCAATCCAAAATAGGTACTATTTCTCTTTAAATTAAGATTTTATCAATTTTTTTTAAAATAAGGTAAATTAGAGATGGATTTAAGGTATTTCGTTTTGTTTTAGGTGTTCATATAGCATCTCCTTCTATTTGTTTTTTCCTTTCATTATCTTTATTTTTTTAAAAGCTTTTGTTTTTTTTTTATTTTTTTTACTTTTATTTTTTTATTAAATAAATTTTATAATAAAAAAATTAATTAAGATAAAAATGATAAAATAATTTATACTTAATGGATTATGATTCGTATTTGTACATTGTATAAAATTATAATCGACCCAATTGACCCAACCCTCGAAATTAATAAAATATTTTTTAATTTAAAATATTATTTTTAAATATAAATATAAAATTAAATAAATATGAAAAATATTAATATATAAATATAAAATTAAATAAATAATAAAAAATATTTTTATATATACCCCAAGTTAGGTTAGGGTAAGTTTGCCCAAAATTCGATTTCGATTTTGTTTTATCTAAAATCTAATCTGATTACACTCGAGATTTAATTTAAAAAAAAATTAATCTTATAAGATCGGATTAGATTAGAATCAAAGGAATATATGTCAGATTGCCAACCTTAATCTCATTTGATTTATTTTAAATTTTATTTATTAAATAAATTTTGTAAAGAAAAATTGATAGATGCAGAGATGATAAAATAATTTATATACAATAGCTTTTATATTCATCAAGATTCAATTTATGTATTTTTTTTTTTAAAATAAAACTTTAGTTAAATTTTACCTCTTTAAACTATTTAAATAAAATCGGGATAGAGTTTGGGATCAAGTTTAGAATGCTCTATATCAACCCTCTTTGAAATATATAAAAGAAAAATTTTATTATTTATTTAATATATATTTATATATATATTAATAAAAATATTATTTAATAGCTTATTTTAATAAAAAATTATATTTATATATAATTAAGTTATAATTTATATTAAAAAATAAATATAATTATATTTGTTTATATATTACCATTCATTAAAATTTAATATAAAAATTTTATTTTATATTTAAAATATAATTTTAAAAAATAAAAATAAACGAAACGTGAGTTTAATTCAATACGTAATAAATAGGAGTTAATCACTTAACAACTTTAGGAAGGAGTTACTTCAATTCTACTCTCTGTTTCCTCTGCTCTGGCTACTGGGTAATGTAGTTTCTCCACAACGGTAGATACTATCATATTATTATTACTTATGGTGGTTTTGTTGTTGAATTTGGTGGATTCGGCAATCTTTTAGAAGCTAACAATGAAAAAAGAAGGTCTTTTTTTGAGAATATGAATGGAATATAGAATCGACAAAAAAAGGTGGGAACTTGCGGTGTAAAATCTCATCTTCTGCATATTGGATGATAAAAGGAAGGAAATGGGAAAGAAAAAGTCTTTGAGGAGCAAAGCTGTTAACTTTGTAACTGATCTTACCACTGACCTTCTTAACCCCATCTCCGATAAACCCTCCAAGCCTTCTCACGTTCCTCCTGTAAGTTTCTCTCTATCCCTCTCTCGTTTTGCTGATTTCTCTGTACATATCTTGAAAAGTCTTCTTGTTTCCCTTTTTGTTAAGGTTATGAATGTTTATGATGATGATGATCACGACGATGTTGCCTTGTTCTGATGTTTGATCAACATCCCAGTTAAAGTTTGATAATGGGCAGTTAAGATATAGGTTTTTTTATACTCTTGATTCTTTTGACTTTTCATGTTTTGAAGGTATTTGATTGGCTTTTGTTTTAATTTTCATTTTTGTCTGTTTTTTTGGTTCTTTTCTCTTGGTTAATCCTTTCTTGGAATTAGAATTATTGAACTGATTGTTGAAATTCTTTGCCAGAACTTCAGTATGGTTTCAAAGTGCATTTTTCTTTTTTTTTTTTTTTGTAGGCTTGCTATTGTGAATTTGTGATTTTAAACTTTTCTGCAATTAAAAAAACTTGCGTACGAATCTCAACCTTGTCCAAAGAGGTGGATCAACTATTGACTAGTTAATGTTTTTTGAAGTATTACCATGTTGAGAGCCTGCAATCAGGGTTCAAGTTTTCACTGTATTGGTTTTCTTTCTAGTAGGAAAATGTGAGTGAGTCAAAAAGAAGTCAATTAGAGTTAATCAGCAAAGCGGATGATAGGGATCTAGTTGATGGCCCTGATACGTCTTCCTTTAGTGCATTCCTCTATTCGCTGTTGGCTTCTTCAGAATCAGGTCACAATTTGAATCCAGATGACCGAAATGATAATCAAGAGGAAACTGGTGATGCATCTGACACACTAATGAAAGAGAACGGTGGAAGGAAAAGCTTACTTTCTAGGGGTAAGCAATCACTTAGAGCTTTCAACCAAGTTACTAGGATCAGTGGATACAGAAATCAAGATCACGAGGGTGATTCTGACATGAAAAGTGATGATGAGGGTGATGCTAAATTTGATGGACTTGAGATGAGACATATGCAAAATGTTAAGGAACCTTTGGCTCTGGGAGATCTTCCAGAAACTTCTGAACCATCATTGCTTCTTACGGAGCAAACAAGAAATGCCCTTTATTCAGCACTTCCAGCTCTTGTTCAAGGGAGAAAGTGGTTATTGCTCTACAGGTGAATGGCACTTTTCGGTTTGATGAATTGAATTTGGTCTTTCTTGGATACATAGTTTTGCTTATATTTAAAAACAGTTATTGTTCTTTCATTGATATATCTCTGTTGTCCTTCACAGTACATGGAGGCATGGTATATCACTCTCAACACTGTACAGAAGAAGCTTGCTCTGGCCTGGCCTCAGTTTGCTGGTAACGGTTAAATGACTTTCTCCTGGAGATTATCTTTGCTTTTATATCATATTTCATATGTCTTCAATGTTGCCATACTGTCATAAATATGAAATAGACATTTACATCACAGTGAGCTGGATTGTCATTCCCATTGTCCAATGCGGGATGTTAGTCCTCTAGGGACATGTCTGTACCTTTAACCTTATCAATTTATTTATTCTCCATAAACTCATTCTATCATATCGAAAGATTCTTACATCTACGGATCCCTGTACTCATGAATTCTTTTTCCAATTCATATTCAATTTTGCACTTGTCTTTAATCTGTCATACCAATAATGTGTAGATTTCAAATCCAGTTCTCCTTTATCTATGCTTGAACGATGAATTTCATAAGGTACAACATGTTTGATTTCAGACTCCTCATTGAGGTTATTGCCCCAATGCAAGTCCTTGGGCAAGGAAGTAAATTTGATTTTACATGTATAATTGTTGTGCTTCTTGTAAATTTCGTACCATCACACATATGTAGTGCACAATAATTTTTGAAACTTGGGTTCCTTTTCTTTTGTCTCCCTGTTCAATTTTAAGTTTGCCTTTTGATTGAAATTACTATAATTATATCTCATTAGTGACTATTAAGTGGTTCTCAATTTAACCTTCTATTCTGGTGCAAAAAAAGTTTTTATAGATAGCTTTTTGCAGGGGGCTATATCAGCTGCTGCTACCTAAAACAAACATAATCTGCAGAATTTTCTCGGTTCTGGTTTTCTATCCTTCCTTTTTTTTTTTACTTTATTTATTTATTTTAAGATAAACAGTGCTTGGGCATCTATGAGTTGTATTTGGACTTCTAATAGGCCTAGAAAGACATCAGTCTGATCCATTTCTACATGAGAATAGAAATTTTTGAATTTTTAACTTGAAGATTAAGTTATTCTTGTTTCAAAATGTGATGTAACTGTTCATATTAATGATTTGGCTACACTACTATTTCTTCATGTCAGCATGAATGTAGGCATGTTTATTTTCTGTCTATGATGAAGCTGTTCCATTTAGGTTTATGGGCTGATGGCATTTATTTTTTCTTAGGTTGTTGGAGACCGTAAGGGTGCAGTGTTTGGTGGTCTGGTTGAGGGACCCCTAAAACCAACTAATAAGAAATACCAGGTGATGCTAGAAAACACTTCTCGTATCCAACAGGTATTTCTTATGAATATCTTGTTGACATTACATTTTGAACAGGGAACAAATAGTACCTTTGTTTTCACAAATAGACCCGGTGATCCAGTTATATTCCGTCCCACAGGTATTCCCTTCTTTGTCTACCGTTTCAAAGTTGTCACAGTATATAGATTCCTAGCTGTCTAGACATTAGAGCATGTGGTGCTGAAAAAGTAACTACTGAATGACGATCATGTATGTGTCAGAACATAGTATATTGACAGCTGAAATACCATATAGCACTCATGCATGATTGACCTAGTCTGCAAGGGGCCTTGGACAAACGATTTGCTCTGCCATCTTTCTTTAGTATTAAAACAGTTTCTCTCCGAGTAAACTTGGCAGATCTAACAGCAAATATGGAACAGGTGCAAATCGATATTTCACCCTGTGTTCCACTGAATTTCTGGCAATCGGTGGTGGTGGCCATTTTGCACTCTATCTAGATGGTGATCTGTGAGATTTCTGTCCCTCAATGGTTCTTTTATGTAAAAATATCTAACGCTATCCCCCTTCCCTCATTCTCCCTTCTCTTTGTTCCTCCTTTTAAATAGAATTCTTGTGTTAATCATCTCTTTTTTTAAAAAATAAGTTTGCCGCTGGCAAGCTTGTCAATGAAACACTGCTTTCTGATATTTCCAATTTTTTTATGCAAGGTTAAATGGATCTAGCTCGTACTCAGAAGCCTATGGAAACCCCTGTCTTGCTTTCTCTGAAGACTTTGAAGTGAAAGAGATTGAGGTATGCACGATGCCCTTCCTTCTCTCTCTTGCTCCATTCCACACCAATGCCACTATTTCCGTTTGCTTCATGAATTCACATTTGGCGTGTTTGTAATTTGAGTATGAGATGTTACCCTAATATTACAAGTTTGTTCACTTTATCCTTGTATGTTGTATCGCAAGTTGTGGGGCTTTGTATATGGATCAAAATACGAGGAAATACTCGCTTTAAGCAGAACAGAGATGCCTGGAATTTGCCGGTGGTAAAAGCAAAAACACCCTTCAAGCATGTGGCTGTCTTATTTCAATATGATCATTGACCACAAGTTAGTTCCGATAGTTTTCATTTGGTACAATCATCTTTTGCTGTGTTTGCTGACCTATTCCTTTCATCGTACATGTCATTACTGCGTTCTTATGCTTGTACATACATGCCAACGTTGTATATACAACAAGAGCATATGATAATTAACTTGGTAACTACCCTATCAGTCTGTTCTTAGCAGGAGTAGAAGCACAATCTTTCTGCTTTTAAACAGGATTATCCCTACTCATGGTTTGTTTTAAATCAAGCCTCAGTGTAAGCTGAAAGTTTAAATCTTTCACCAGACATTCTTCAAGCCTGTTTAGCCTGGTTGAATGTGTAGTAAAAATGGTGTTGAAATAGAGAGGAGTCGTCTTATCCTTGAACGCCATAAACCATAATTGAAGATGATGGAGGCTGCTAGATGGCCGCCTTTTCTTTATTCCTTTGGAATTTTCATACCGGTGAAAAGAGAAAGGAAGAGAAGGATTATTCAACTTGGAAGCGGGTTAAAAGGTACGTGGAAAGATTGAAATTTCCTACCCTTCTTCTTTCTTTCTTTTTTTTTTCTTCAAGGCTGTGCATTGAGCAAAATATTATAAATAAATTATTGATACCAGTAAACAATATTACACGACTTATTAGTTATTACAGCCTGAAATAAAAAACCCATAACAACAAGCTAACTCTAATCAACGAAACAACTCTACCACCCAAGACCTCAATACCAAAAGGGGGAAAAGAGGGCAAAAAGGAATGCACCTTCCAACATTTGGATCGATATGAGTGCATCACAACAAGATCGAAAGCGCTTGTTGTAAATATCTGTCACAAAATTGGTATAAAAATTACATGTAAACTGCTTTTTCATCGGTGAATCATTAACTATGGCAGCTTGTTAGAAATGTTTTTTGTCAATGTTGGTTAGCCAGGAAAAAAAGGTTTATAATCATGCCTTTAGCAACTGCAGATTAATTGCCAATGAAATAAATACCTTCTCACTTAAGCGGTGAACTTGATCTACTACTCGGCTGTAAAATAAAGATGCTAAAATCCCCTCACACAACTGTTGCAGCCTTTACCAGAATTCCTTCTTCTAACTTCTGGGGAGGACCACTGATCAGACCAGTGGCATTGACATCTGCTGTTTCTCATAGGCAGAGGCATGAACACCGAAAGCAGCACGACCAGAGGGGTCAGGATTTTTTGACCATGCTGCATCCCATTCCACTGCTTTAGCAGTACTGCAAGCCACACTTGGACCCCCTGGAACAGTTGACCTTGCAGCATTCTGCTTGCAATTCGAAGATTAATCAGCAATATCAAGAAAATTGAGCAAAAAAGGTGTTAAAAGGAACAGACATAATAAAATATTATGCTAGAGGTGTATTCGGTTCAGAGAAGAATTTCTTATAGTCATATAGAGCCTCTTTTATCCTTGTTTGGTCTGAATTAGTTTCACATGCCCTAAAAATCTCACAATACCTGGGCCGTTTTATACATCTTTGTTGGCTAAGAATCCCATTTCTCCATCGATAGGTGTTAATAATTTCTAGTAGAAAACTTGTGGGACATAATGTTATTAACTTGATTGCGTTTTCCATAACACTACTACCTGTCCCCCAAAAATTTGGGAATGTCCCAAGCCAACCAATTGTGGGCAAGTAGATAAATGATGTTCTCCCTAATGGTGGAAAACTAAAACAACCTGGCAAGCATCCCACCCCTAATGGATCAGTGAAATGTTGTTTTCAGTTTATTTTTCTTTCTTTTCCAAAAATGATAATTGGACATGGAGTAAAAGCGAATTTGGGACATGTTGCATTCCCCTCAAGAAAATCTAGATACACAGAAAAGAAAGGGATGGAAAAATAGAGTGAACAGTATAACACCTTAGGAAAAAACTTCTCAAAGATAGTTCTGTAATAGTATCCCTCTTTTGTGGTTGGAGTATTCTCAGGGTAGATAAAGCTCGCATTCATCAACGTTGCATCAGTGACCTGTCAAGTTCACAAACAATAGATTGTTCCTATGCAGCCAAGTGGAAAATGTCTCCAAGAGGAACTACAAACAAATAAGCCTACCTGTTTGTCAGCATGGTCCTTTAAACCATCAATCCAACTGTATCCAACTCCATCACTGAACTGCTCCTTCTGCCTGTACAAAATGTGCTGAAACAAAGAGAGAAAAGCAGTTTCAAGAACAAGAATTTCTTCCAAGAAATTTTCCATCAGAACTCAAATTGAAAGATTACTACACTGAAGAAACATAGTCATTGAAAACAGGACCAAGTAAAATGATAAGTCCCAGTAAATTTGCTAGATGGCAGGAATATTTCAAAGGCAGATTTACCAACCTTTTGGCAGATATGGCTTCTGATCATCATCAAATGCATTACGTAACCCCCACTTCTCAATCCTTCTGAGATCAGGCCTTATCTGCAATGGCAATAACCATAAGCGGGCATTCCTTCACCCAAAAAACAGTCTGAACATCTAACTAAATTTTATAACTCTTAACAATGTTCTAACAGTCTAAAACATAGTATCGATCAAGTAACTGACCCCCTAATTTCCATCAGCTCATTATCAAATAAAGGAACCTAGAAAACCCACTACCAACTTACAGACCAGATTAAACACCAAATGCTAGAACACATCCATGGAGTGAAATGCTACCCTCAAAATGGACAAGTGAAACCAGGAATGATAACCTTGCAGCAAAAACCAGAGATAGAGCAACAAGCAATAATAGCAAGAATGCAAAATGGAAAATAGCCTCTATGCATTCAGTACTTTTCTCATGTAATGACAGTAAAGCTTTTGTATAAGTTATTCCAGTATAGACAGACACAACATTCCTTTTCTCGACGGTTAAACTAAAGAATGTAATGGAAATGAAAGATAAACTAAAGAACGTAATGTAAATGAAAGATAGAGAAATATCAAACCATTTTCCACTCTGGATCTATACTCATTGCAATGTTGATGAATTCTTTATCTAAAAAGGGTACCCTAGCCTCAAGTCCCCATGCCGAAGTTGCTTTATTTGCTCTCAAGCAATCATAAAGATGAAGAGCTTTGATCTGGTGAATTATTAGAACATCATCAGAAGCCGAACAATATACAACAGGTAGTCACATATCAAGCCTAACATATGGATTCTTCCAACTCCTTTACTAATGCCCAGGAAAACGAAAAGTGAGATCATCTGGAATACCTTTCGACATGTTTCTTCATGAAATCCTCTTTGTTAGGTGCTTTATGGAAATACAAATAACCTCCAAAAATTTCATCGGAACCTTCCCCTGAAAGAACCATTTTCACTCCTAAAGATTTTATTTTTCTTGACATAAGAAACATGGGGTTCTGGCTCTAATAGTCGTCACGTCATATGTTTCAATGTGGTAGATGACTTCCTCCAGGGCGTCTATCCCTTCCTGATAGGTCAAAAGAGGAGAAAGAAAATTAAAAAAAAAAACCTTATTTCTCCATCTTTTTTTCAAATGAAGTGGGAAATTGCCTGGACGGTGAAATTAAACTCATGGTGACGAGTTCCAATATAATCTGCTACCTCTCTTGCAGCTTTAAGATCAGGAGAACCCTGAATAACAAAATGTCAAAATTATTATAAATAAAGAATAATCTCAAGTTACACTTCAAAGATCAAGATAGTGTGTTATTTGAAGCTGCAGAGATTCAACCTAACAACTAGAAAGAGATCGGATGTAGATATTATGTAAATTATTTGCACAGATTATTTGCATATACTAGTAGCAGCAGTTCCAATGCAAGTATATAGCATTCTTCAACGAAGAGTCAAAGAATTTGATTTACCATCAGTTACTCGCACTGAACAACCATAGCGTTTAAGGCAACAACAAACATATCTAATGAACAGGCATATCTTTAGACATTAAGAAATGTCCCAGGGAGGAAGAAAACAAACATAATAAGAGGATATGGAATCTTTCTCCGTGCCACACAAAAGTGAGCATTAAGACCTTCAAACCAATGCAGAAGGTGTGTAACTGTGACCCCCACTGGCAAGCAACTTCTGAATTAGTTAGCTGACGGGAAGCTACCGCTGCAACAAGTGATGAGTCCAGCCCTCCAGATAAAAGCACTCCAAATGGGACATCTGTCATGAGCCTCTTAAGCACAGCCTATATAAAATAACTTCACGAGGAAAACTTAGCAGTGAAACATAATTGGCATAGCACAGAAATAAGTCCAACATTTATTAATTTAAAATCAAGGGAATAGTAACAAATGCTAAAGCCATGTGCTTCAGTGCCTCTTCAAGCATTCAGATGACTGATCCACTAAAAAAAACTTCGACAAATATTAAGAATCTTAAAATATTTCCATTAACAATTTTCTTTGTTTGAGTCATTCATGACTAAATAGGCTGATATCAGAAAATCGAGAGAGGACAGAGACAGAGAACTAATGGAAAAGGATAACACAGAACTACAGAGAGCCATAGAGGTAGACAAAGCTTCCAATTCTAGATTGGAGGTCAAGTTGAAATCTTAAGACCTAAGGTAGGTGGGAGATCTCCTAAAAACTAAGGGTATATTAGAGTAACAGACAACCCCCTAAACTAAGCACTGTTGTTGTTCTCTTGAACGCCAATTACCTAATGAAAAGGTGGTCACAAGAAAAGAAACAGACTAATAAAGCAAAATCCAAGAAACTAAGCTGACCCTAGCCAATTAGGGGAAGGGGGACCAAATCACAGGGACTCAAAGACTTTATCAGTTCTCCTTTCATATTCTGAACAATGCTTTCTGCACTAGCATGAGACTGCTCTGTTGTCTGCAGTAATGACATGGTGACTACTTAGTCAATACAGCTTACTTAGGTTTTCCACTCGTTTTCTAGCTAACTGAGAGACAAAATAATGACATGTGATTCCAAAGTACTAAAATAAAACCAATAAAATCAACACAAGAGTAAAAGGAGGTTTAAACTGTGCCTTCTCAAAGGCCTCCCGTAGAACTTTGGGATCATATGGAGTTGAAGGTATCTCCTCCAAGTGCCATGGGGGGTTATACCATCTTCTAAGCCCTCCTGCAGAGATTACAAATGTAACAAATAAAGGGCATTGCATGCAACAAATCATAAACAAAGGTGAATTTAAAAAACTGATCGCAGAAAAACTGAGAAGAGAACAATATCATGTACCATACAAATTTTAAGTTCTCCTTCAGAAGTTATACGATCAATTCTTAAACAAGCTAGAAACTAAAATATCCAAAGAAAAAAAGACCTTGCTTGCTCGAATATATATGCCCTGGAAGGAAAGACATAAATCGTTCACAATCGTCACTCAAAGCTTTCATCTCAGAAGCAAACCATACCGAACCTGCGAAGTAAATTGCATTTAATTAGAAGCATGCATCCATAACAAGGAGGAGGGGGTTAATATAAACCAGAATGAGAAATGGAAAACTATTTTTTGCCTTGTTTTGATAGATCTTAATTTGCTCATTAGAAATGGAAAACTATTAATAAAGCACAAAGCATGAAAAATCCAGCCAAACTGGAACACATCCAGCTAATTCCTAATGGAGCCAAGACTAGGTTCACAAACCAGCGAGATAATTAATTAGCCTAATAACTAACTAGATTTTTGCCATGCATTATGCATCTTAATAGAACCAGTAATCGAAAACTTGATTGGATATTGATACAATAGACTAGAGAAAAGGAAACTTCTTCTAAGTCGGCAATGCCACTGACAAAGTACACGACAATGAAGACTTCATGGTTAGTTCATAAAATAAAAAATAAAACGCAAAACTTTCAAATCATAAAATATAGAATTGGCAACAATGTCAAAGTCCAACTAATATTTGTTTAAAATTTTACAATGCTAAGAGTTTTGTTGGATGAGTTATGAAAAATAATATACATGTTGGAATATTATAAAAATGTATCATTGTAAGTCATGTCTTGATCGAACTATTGTTTAAATCTAAAAATTTACATAATTTTAAAAAAATTTAATAAAAATTAAAATTCATTAAATCAGTTTGGATATAATTTTTTTATATCACTTTAAATTTTAGATTAAATTTTAAATAAAAGAATTAAAATTGAGATCTTACTTAACTAAAATAAAATTATATAATTAAAATATTATAATTATATAAATATATATATATGTAAATTTTTATTTTAATATTTTAATTAAAAGTTATATTTAAATTTTTATTATACAAATTAAATTTAATGATTGAATTAAAAAATTTTTTAATTTGTATCAAACTTAAAAATTTTTGAAACCCAAATTATTAAATCAAATCAAATTTAAATAAATATATAAATTATTAATATCAAATACAATTAATTTTAATTTGATAGCTCATAAAGACTTCTATCAACACTTGGCCCAGCCTTACCTTGCTCATGATTAATCGTGGCCCCTCCCTTCCTTTCAGCGGCTCTCGTGGTCGGAATGCGGAATTCGAGTTTGACCTGTTTTCTAAGACTAAGAAGATAACAATTATTAAAGCAAAAAATAAATATTTTTGGGCCAATAATCGTAATAATATGTCTTAGTTCCCATATTTTCTTTGGGCCGTCTTTGACTCTTGACCCCTTTTAAATCGAAGAAACTGGAAAAAAAAAATTGTCATTTTACTTGGTCAAGAGTAAGGATGAAGAAATATATATAAAATAAAAATAATTTAAAATTATAATATTTGATTTGGTTTAAATTAAAATTTTTAATTTAATTTAATTTATTTGATATTATAATTTAATTTAAATTTGATATTAAATATATATTAAAATTGAATTGAATTTTAAATCAAAAAAATAAATTAAATAAATTAAATCAAATCAAATTATATATTTTATTAATTTTTATATATATTTTAATTTTTATAAAATAAAAATAATTATTTTATATTTAAAATTATGTAAATATATTAAAATTTTATATTAAAATAATATATAAAAAGTAAAAAATTTTAAAAATCGATAAGTTAAATTAATATAATTTAAATTAATTTAAATCATATAAAATTTTGATTCCAATCTAATTTTAAAATTTTATAATATTATATTTTTTATATATTATTTATATTAAAAAAACAAACAAACAAACAAACCAAATAAAATCATTATCACGCCATCAAAGAGCCGAAGCCAAGTCGTAGGAGTAACCGCGATTTCTTGTGTGACAGGGAAGAATAGAATCATTCTCTGATCCCATTTAAAATCAATCTCCATTGCATTCGCCAGCAAAATTATCAGACTAGCGAGGCAAGGATCGACGTTGGGACGGTAAACAAGAAATTCCCCAAACATTTTCTTCGTGAAGGTCGCCAATAATGCCGGCGACAAAGCCCAAAGCTTCTACTCAGAACACAGCCAAAATGAGTCCACGCGTTTGGTTTTACTCCATTTTGCTGACTCTTCAATACGGAGCGCAACCTCTCATCTCCAAACGCTTCACCAAGTAACAATAAATTCCTCGAAAACTTTAGTTTATTTAATTCTGTGCTTTTGATTTGGCTTGTAATTAATCGCCTGTCGGATTTAATATTATTTAATTTAATTTTTGAGTGATCATTTCGAAATCCGGATTTGGATTATGGTGGAAAAGTAGCAATTGATGAAAGGAACGATTTTTTTAATATTTTATTTTATCATGAGCTTTTGGCTAAGTTGAATTTTTTTTTTGCCTTAGTTTTTTTTCTTCTTCTTTATATTTTCAGCATAATTAGAGATATTGACGTTTGAATTAGTCTCCGAGGGGAGCTTATTTCTATTTTGAACTTGAAGCATCATCTTGGCATGTCCCTTGTATTTTATACAGTTAGTACTTGTATATCTTCATTGGCACCAATTGCTCAAATGTGTTCATGGTTGCTTATTTTCATATCTTAATGCGAATCTTTTAAAGTTTACAATGCTATGATGTAAATTCAGTTTAATAATGATGGTACACATGAAAATGCCCGCACGCTTGCACGCATGTATATCGAAAGATACACCACCCCTAATTCCTTAGTTTTTATGCATATCTTACCCCAGTCCGAACAGTCCGAGTACGATTGAACAATTTTCTTTTTCAAGTTTTTAACTCATGATAACCATTTTTAACAGACGGCAAGTAATTGTAACTTCATCAGTCTTGACATGTGAGATAGCCAAGGTACTTTTTACAGATAATTTATTTTCCTTTATTTCTGGTTCTTTTAGCATTTAAGCATATGAATTTATAAGATCTTTGACTTTTGAATATGCTTACTAGGTTGCATGTGCTCTTATTCTCATGGCAAAAGATGGTAGCTTAAAGAAACTGGCGAAGGAATGGACTTTGATGGGTTCACTTACTGCATCAGGTCTTCCTGCAGCAATTTATGCACTTCAAAACAGCTTGTTGCAGATATCTTACAGGAATCTTGATTCACTTACTTTCTCAATGCTGAACCAGACAAAGATATTTTTCACTGCCTTATTTACATATATCATACTGAGGTATCTTTCCTTGCATTTATCTCCTTTGAGTGTTTTCCAGCAAAAGAATTTGCCTAGATGATATTACCTCCTTTTAGTTTTAGAGAATTTAGTACTGATCATCTGGTTCCTATTAAAGCTAGAAACTAGGATGATGTTTATATGTTTTACTCATTATAGCTCACCAATATGTTAACCTGTTTTTGAGTTTTGCAAATGACTTAATTGCTAGTTATAATATGTTTTATGAATTTGATAGTTCTAATAATTGTTTTTTCTTTGCAAAATGGCATTATTTTAATCAAAAGCATCATGATAAGGCAGTTATTGATGTGGACAAATATAATGATATTTTGTGATATATTTCAGCTTATTTGGCTTAATTTGTGGTTTTTCTATGCAGGCAGAGGCAGTCAATTCAACAAATCGGGGCTCTGTTCTTGTTGATCATGGCTGCCATTCTTCTAAGCATTGGTGAAGGCTCTAGCAAAGGTTCTAGCAGTGGTGACCCTGAGCAAATTCTATTTTATGGAATTGTCCCAGTCTTAGTTGCTTCTGTACTCTCTGGTCTGGCTTCTGCATTATGTCAATGGGCTTCTCAAGTAAGAAATGGCTTATTTTCCTGTTTTAAAGATACAAATTATGAAGGCTTGCCTATTTTCCTTATTTTCCTTAAGGTTTTCTTTATTACAGGTCAAGAAGCGCTCATCATACTTGATGACTGTAGAAATGTCCATTGTTGGAAGCTTGTGCTTACTGGCTAGTACCTCTAAGTCTCCAGATGGAGAAGCTATCAGACGCCATGGATTCTTTTATGGTTGGACTCCACTAACTTTGGTAATAGTCCTATTTTATTAGAAAATTTCTCTGAAGAATATTGGGGATGCTCTTGGGTTTACTCAAGCAGGAAAAGGACAGAGTAAGACTGGGTAGGGAATTTTGCAAGTTAAGACTACCATATTTCTCTATAATGGATGCCTGCAAGTTTATGTTGGTAATACTTTTTATTTATTAACTGCTATGGTACATGAATGCTAAAGATTGAACACAACTGTCCTTTTTCCAGATTCCGGTTGTAGCCAATTCTCTTGGTGGGATTCTTGTTGGCCTTGTCACCAGCCTTGCTGGTGGTGTGAGAAAGGTAAGCCTAACTACATAAAAGCAATACGGTAACTACTTAGGATGGAGTATTGAAGGATAGAGTGATGATTAAATGGGTGCAGGTCAACATGGGGGCTATGGAATTGCATATGTTATAAATCATCAAGTAAACAAAATATCAAACTTAAAGTCATTGACCTCATTTCTTAATTAGTTTTTTACCACGTGTTGACATCAAATAGGGGTGAAGGGTAATGTAGGCCAAGTGCCTTCTATGTATCTAAATTCTAAAGGACACAAATTTCAGAATATCATTTTTGGGGGATCATTAAAGCTGAAGATCATTCTTCCTTTTATGCCATAAATATTTATTGTTTGAATTTATTTTCTATACCACATCATTTTCTCTAGGATACTTATGCCTGCAAAATTTTCTCAAATGCCTGCAGGGGTTTGTCATTGTTTCAGCACTTCTTGTAACAGCCATGCTGCAATTCCTTTTTGAAGGAAAGCCGCCGTCAGTGTATTGTCTCGTGGCTCTTCCACTTGTCATCAGTAGCATTTCGATATACCAGAAATATCCATACCAAGTTAAAAAGAAGGAAGCCTAAAAACTTGCAGGCTGATAAGGGGATTTCTCAGAGTGGCCCCAATTGTTATAGTTTCCATTTGTTTTCCCAAGTTTTAGGGGAGGGGTAACAGGAATTTTAGGATGTTGTACTTACTGGCTACTAGTGTAGGCAATGAAGAAGGCAGATTATACTTGATTTCATCTATTTCAGGACATTTGAATTGGGTATTGATTGTGACTGAAATTGGGAAGAACAAGAACAAGGCTTTGATGTAGTAGTCTGACCTTTACGAGCAGTGCAAAATCGTATGAATTATGAAATGAATAATCATGCATGTGAAGTAATTGAGAAGTCCTATATCATGCTCTGAGATGAGAAGAGTACTTCAGTACTTTGATTGTAGACGGTGGCTTCACTGAACAAAGCAATAAATAAAGAATACCAGAATCAATATTCAAATCCTTTCTTTATTGCTTTGTTCAGTGAGATAGAGTTGGTGATGACTATTGAATACTGAAAAAGATTATTCAGTTACAACGCCTAAATAGAGATAATTACCATTGCACTTCAAGAATCTTCTGAACGCACATTAATCATAAACCAAAAAATGATTTGAGGGATTGAATGAAGAAATATCTAAAATGAATGTTTATATTTATAAGCTTTAAAAAAAATGTTTGAAAGACTTTTTCATAAAGATATATGATTTGAATAAAATATATGATTTGAATGTAGTATCACTATTTTTGAAACAAATCATACTAAACTTTTAATTTTAATTACTAAGATTCAAATCCTAACCTCTTCAATTATATTTAAAAAAAAAAAAAAAAACTCAAATTCTTAACTGTTAAGTTGTCTGGTGGACTGGGGCCAGGTTTCTGTTTGTTGGAATATTAACACGTCGAGATTTGAGAGGAACTTGAAGTTATCTTCAAGGCCCATTAATACTAAACGGAATTCTAGCCGAGCCCAAGATAAAACGGGCAAAATAAAGCAGAGCAATCGCCAAGGAAACTTTTCCTTCTGCAAAAGCCTCACAAAAACCTCTTAAATTGCCATTTCGAGGTTCGAGCTCCATAAGAAGAAGCCAGAGTAACCAAAAAAACAAAAGAAAAAAGAAAACGGGGAGTAGATTGGGAAGACCAGTTGTCCACTTGGCGAACCTTCCAATCAAGCTACTAATGCCAAACACCTTCACCAACATGAAAGAAATAGCTCTCAAAACCATCCCATCGGCATCCAAGATCGAGATCAAACGCGTCCTCGAATCCCTCTACGGTTTCGACGTCGAAAAAGTCCGTACTCTCAACATGAAAGGCAAGAAGAAGAAACGCGGTGGTTTCTTAATCGCCAGACCCGATTACAAGAAAGCTTATGTCACTTTAAAAACCCCTCTTTCTATTTCCGAGAATCTTTTCCCTATTCAGATTATTCAAGAGGAAAAAGAGAGTATGAATAAGAATAGTAAGAGTAAGAGCGTTGTGGGAGAAGGGGAAAAGAAGAAGCATTGGCTTGATGGGAAGATGAAGGATGATAGAGTAGAGAAGGGGAAGGGGAAGGCTTATTTATTTGTTGACGTGTTATTTTGAGATGGCGTTTTATTTTTTTTTCTTTATTTTGAATTGCTTAGCTTTTGTTGGATTGATTGAGCATAATTGAGTAACTTGTTTAACCAAAATGGAATTGATAAACTTGCTTTCTGGTTTAGTATAATTGTCGATCAAACAATTCTATGAATCCTCCAGTGCCTAGTTGAAAAATTGAATTCCTGTTCGCCTTCTGTTTCATTAGAGATATATAGGGTGAGGTATCTTATGATGATAACATTCAGTCTAAAGTCTAAACCTTGTAAACTAGTCAAAAATGGAAAGGCATATATGCGGTTGAGGCTATTGGCTGGATTGAGCATTGACGTTACAAGATGCTTACTGCTAATAAATTTTAAGATAACGATCGCCTGCGTCTAAAGCTGAGTCTAAAGCCCGCTGGATTTGATCTATTCTGTCCGTCTCCAGTGTCATCACTTTCTGCCTTCACATGGAAAGAGTTCTTAATCTTCCTCCAATTCAAACTCCAACCTGATGCATTCTTTTGCTTGTTGCATATCCTTTCATACTCTTGTTGCAGATCAGAATAGTCATTTTGTAGTTCTGACATCTTTGTCTTTACATTCTCAAGTTCTGATTTGAGGTCCTTTATCTCTGTGTTTGTGGATGGTCGATGTTCCTCTTGTTCGGAATTATCTCCTCTTGTTAATGGTTCCTTACCTTGCATTGCCATCCTCATTTTTGCTTGCTCTGAAAATAAAATCTGCATGTATTGTGTTGTTCGTAAACTAATTAGCACTCAGAGGATGAGTTTTATGCCTGGTGAGTTTGTCTACTTATCAAAGTGTCAATAGCTTCTCTTAATGTTCCTTCTCTTCATTCTATTGGCATTTTATTTCATTATCATGTTATCAGAGGCCTGTATGCCAGATAAATTCCGATTTCTTGTCTCAATTCTCTGCAGTGAAATCTATAAACTGTATTAGGGACTACATGGTTTAGTTTAGGAAACATCTAAACATTACCTTTTGGTGTCCATACTTGTTCTTTTGACCCTGTGATTACCTTCTTTAGTGAATGACAAAAACATACACTCACACACACGCATAAATATTAGACTGTTGTGGTTATAAATGTTCTGTCTTGATTTCTCTCTTAGTTTTGTACTCTTTTTGGAGTTTACTTGAGCTTTTCCTGCTATGGATATGTACTTATATAAGGTGCTTTTTGGTGTTCTCTTCAAGTGATGCGCTTCTCAATGACAAATCATTGGTATAGATGCATGCCTAATATGGACAAGCTCCCTCTATAATTTATAAATAATTTTCTGTTGAATTCCAGAATGATGAGTTATCACAGTTGTGAGTACAGGTTTGTAAAATGAAGATCTGTTAACTAGCATTATGAGAATCATTAAATGCTTGCACTTGTCTTAGATGTGGATTTGCTATTTATATAAAGATTTAAGGAATCTATCACTGGCCTGTCAATCTAACTTCAGTATAGGTCCCTGATGTTGCAGTATTGCATGATACTTTTGATTTACTTTAGAACCATGAATCTGGAGTTTTGTCCAATAACTTTTAAGAATTGACTCATTGATCTTGATTTCTGATTCAGTACAGATTTTTCATAACTCATGGTGATATTAATGCAATGAAAATTTTTGAATATAAAGTTCTGATACAAGTTACCTGAACAACCGTTTGTAGGGGCAACCTATCATTTTGTGCAGCATGCATGCACGCATCAAATGATAGTTTTTCACAGTTCATTATTTTGCACAATCTTCTCCGGTCATGCTCAGATAGTGAAGGATGAGTCTGAAAAAGTTATCAAGAATTAAATATTAAGATCTACATCAACAAATGATCTGAAAAGCATAAGAGGCTTGAAAAGTAACCTTGAGATAGATATCCATGGCCCTATAGAGACCATCATCACATGATCGAGCATTTTCTGGCAAGGATTCAGCAAGAACCTGAAATTTTGTGATGGAAAGATTTGGATCCCTTGCTATTTCAGCTAAGTAATTGTCCAATAGCTTACTAACATTTGTTTTCCCCATTTGTTGCTGTTGTTGTTGTTGTTCATGCAGCAAGAAATAGTCCAAAATCCTTTGCACCACATCTATGTTGTGCATTGTTCGCTGCTCAGGCGAACTGTTGAGGGAGTTATATGAACAGGAAATCAGTCTAATTTCATGGTTACAAAGGGAACTTCTCTTTTGGAGATTTTCTTTTTGGATTAAAGTTCTAAATTAGACAATCTACAATTGAGGTAGAATACTCACTTTACCATTATTCCCTGATCTTCATTTTTATAATTAGGGATCAGTAGGTCGTTAACATTGGCATCTTCCAGCATCATTCCAATTCTCTTTTCAAGATCTGATATCAGAGCTGGTGACGCGGAATATACCATGGCTGTTTTCAGCATCTGCAACAAGAACTTACATGAAACAGCTTCATATTGAGACGGAAGTATGCTTACTAGGTTTTCAATAATTGTTCTTTGCTCCTTGTTTTGCGCAGAACTCTCTTCTTCCTCCCTTCTCAAAATGATGAACTGCAACTCACTCTTTCCGTATCCATATCCCCTCAGTCCTTCCAGTTCCTCATCCATGTATGGCAGCCATTTATCTGCATAATTCATTATGCATTTACCTACGATCTCTGCTTTTGTTCCTTTTGCTCTAATTGCTGTCATAATCCTCATGAAATGATGAATGTGAAGGGTAGCCACATCATCAAACCACCAACTTTCTTCACTAACTATTTCTCCAGTTGATGCGTTCTCTCTTGAAATCTTATGAGCTATTGAGTCACAGCATCTTCTGACAATCTGGAGGCTTTCTGCCCATGGAAATAGGGTTTCACAAGATTTGAGGACAGTAATAGTGTCTTTCCAGGAAGCCAGGACTACAAACGTGAGAAAAGCTTCTGTCTTGGCTATGAGATTCCCATCTTCAAATTCTTCTGTCATCTCTAGATATTCGGATGCACATCTCAGTGAAGCTATGTTATTGGGGTTTAAATCTAGTGGGAGACCATAACAAAATTTTAGAATCATCTCAAATGTTTCTGATCCACCTGGAAAATTTTCAAGCTTGAGATCACGTCCAAAATTTGAGATTGAAGGTTGAAGTTCCAACCGCCCAATGTAGCCACATTTTGCTATCAAAGGATACTGTTTCAGGATAAAGAGATCAGAGAGCTAGTAGTTTGATAACAAGGTTGGCTCTTCATCCTTATATACATTAATTTCAAGTTGTTAAGATTATTGTGTTAATTGACATGAATAAATTGAAAGAGTAACTGGTTTCTTTTATCTTCCAACTTGGCCGATGAATATTCAGATTTTTCTTCTCTAGGAAAAATGTTTAATTCTAGAAATCTGAAATAGTGATAAAACAGGTTTAAAAGCCAAATGCTTTATTTGTTAATTATCTGTCTATATATCATATCACGAGGGATTTTGATTGTTTTAGAGTTGCATTGGTGTTCTTATTTAATGTGTTTAATTACTGAACCCTACTGTACTAAAGAAGCGTTCAAAATAATTAAAAATAAAAGGTAAACAAGAAAAGAAAGGGTCCCGATAGTTATGCAGGTCTTATTGGTATCTTCATTTTGTTTACTAGTTACCTTGTGAACATTGAAGATGACTCCTTGAACTTGGATCGCTAAATCTGTGGGGATTTGAGATGTGGCAAACCTGCATTAACTCCCCAAAAAAAATAACGGAAACCTGAGCTGCAGGGATAAACTTTGAAACAAATGATAAGTAGCTTGTTCATTTCAACATTTTATTGATTTACAAAGCAATTATTCTGTTGTCAATTCTTGTTTGTTGGGTTGAAACTTGAGAGTTTGAATAGCAAGGAATACAATTTTTACCATGAGAGTTCTTTCCTTTCAAGGCCATCGGCTGCAGTGATGAGTTTGTTTGGAATTATGATGCTTTGATCATAAACTTGATGATCATTGCCATCAGCATCACTCCCACCAGGACTTCGTGGATGAGCCATTTGAAACGACTTCTTCATGGTGAAGCTCTTCCTGCAAATATGTTAGTAAGTTTCTCATACTGTTTATAGGGATGAAGAATATATGAAGGAAAAAAAAAAGGAGGGTGCAGCTTGAATAAATGTGAGAAGCAAGCCTGTGGCTGGAAGGGACAGATGGTCTTAAGTTAGTTGGTAGACTGCAACCTTCAGTTTTTTTTGGGTTTAATAGATGGAGATTAATCAAGGTCGATGTTACAATTGAGGGGAAGGGAATGTTGGGTATGATTTGTCAATTTCTCAGCCACTTATGCTTGGATTATTTCTATGATGATTTTGTGGTTTAATGGAGGCAGACACACTGTATCAAACATTTATTATAATCCTATACAGTCCATGTCTTAGATCAGGAAACTTCTTGAATTTGAATGTGAATCAAATATCTGAAAATTTTTTGGCGGATTAGAAAGCAGCGTGAGAGAACTTGTATTTCATTTGCACATGCATGCATTTTTTTTTTTCAAAATCTTTTCGTTTGAATACCGCATAAATTTATAACTTTGAGTAACATGTTGCCTGAGTTGTTCCACTTTGCCATGCAATGAAGTTATATACAATAAAGTGGTAAACACTAATTGGCAGCTCAGCCTTTTTCTCCTGATGCACTTCAATCCTATGCCCATTACGCTAATATATATATATATATATATATATATGCTCTTTTTGGGGGCAGAATTAATCCATTGCCAACACTTGGAAAATTTCCTTCTTCAATTATCCTTAGGCTTTAGGCCCTTAGACTTCTGTTAAAAAGAAAAAAAGTAGGGGTAAAATTGGAAAGTAAAAACCTGTTAAATGATTTTGACTAAGCCGTCCTCGTCGTACTTGGCGGTTTTTCCTGTTCCCAACCAATATAAAAGGGATTAAACTCAAAGCTTTCTTTCGTGTTCTTCTCTCTCTTCAAAATTTCCGTTTCCATTTCCGTCAGAAATAATAATAATAGTAACGATAAAATCAAAATTTTTTTCTTCGAGATTCAGATCTAAAACTCTCGCTTACAAGCAAAAATAGAGAGAAGAAATTGAAAAATGGCGACAGTGTCCCCTCTGGCGAAATACAAGCTGGTATTCTTAGGCGATCAATCCGTTGGCAAGACCAGCATCATCACCCGCTTCATGTACGATAAGTTCGACACCACTTACCAGGTAAGCTTTTTTCCTAATTTTTTAAACAATTTAATGTGGTTTTTCATTGATTCATGCATATTCAACGAATATTTGACCGTTTCTTAAGTTCCTTTGTTTCGTACATTGTTTGAATGTGATTTAGTTTTCGTATTCGATTTATTGATCTGGGGTACTAATTGCGGATTTAATATCGTTTTTGCTTGTGTTGTTGATCTTGAGTGAAATTATCTTAGTGTAAAAATGCTTGATTTGTAACGTACTGGGAATTATGATCAATTTTGCGTAATAGCTTAAACAGATCTTGATTTTTTTTTTTTTTAATTTCTATGATTACTTTGGTTTTATTTTTTCTCTGTCACAATTATTTCAAATTCATTGAATTTGAATTTTCCTTCCTCTAGATCATAGAATATATTAGAATTGACAGTTTATATATATATTTTCCTTGAATATTTTTAAGCATTTTGGAGAAGAATTTGCTCATGATTTATTGATATAATTCAATTCCAGGCCACTATAGGAATTGATTTTTTGTCAAAAACAATGTATCTTGAAGATCGAACAGTTCGATTGCAGCTTTGGTAATATGATTCTTCCTTTCTCTCTCTCTCTCTCTCTCACAATGTAGAATCTTGGATAACTCTGGTCAACACTTAGTTTATTCAACTCTCGAACCAATTCCATAAATGTTGAATGAACATAAGCACATTTCTTGTGAACTCGAGGCATTTGTTTTGATTGCTAATAATTTCAATTTTAGACTACAAATTAGTTCCAAAAGAGCTTAACTTTTTTTTAAGGCAGGTATAATTTGTTGTCAGCGATGGAGCTTTAAAGTGGTGGGTGATGATCATGACAGCAGAAAAAAAAAAGACCATTTAGCATTTCCTCTTCATCCAGTTAGGAAATGTTACAACTTTTGGAAATAGAAACTTATTCATTTCTCTTGTGTACTTTATCCTCTTAAAGTCATTATGCTTGGTTGAAATTTGTTATAACAATCTAGTCTACTCAGTTTCTTATGGACCCTTTCAGCTTTCTGTTTGGCAAGAGTATAGTATAACATGTCCGTTAATCTAATTTCTTGGTTTTCATGGTGCATATACTTTTTAATTTTCCAATTGTCTTTTCTCCATTTGAGTTTTATCTTATAATTTCACAGGGATACTGCTGGGCAGGAGAGATTCAGGAGTCTTATTCCAAGTTATATTAGAGATTCTTCAGTTGCAGTAGTTGTCTATGATGTAGCTAGTGAGTATAAGCTAACCCAAGTACCTTTTTTTTTTTTGTTTTTGACTTCATTAGATGAGACTAAAATGGAAAGCTTTAATTGACTGTATGATAATGCTAATAAACAACTCTCCCCCATGATAACAATTATCGTTAGATTGGCGTACATGTTAAACTTAATTATTCTCATTCCTGACTTGGATATCTCCTCGCAGATAGGCAATCATTTTTAAACACTTCTAAGTGGATTGAAGAGGTACGCACAGAACGAGGCAGTGATGTCATTATCGTCCTTGTTGGGAACAAAACTGATTTGGTTGATAAAAGGTTAGTGTTGGGTTAGAAAATTGAACTTTCTAGATTGATTTTCCATATTACTGGAATTTGATCAGCTTATTTGCTTGGGTTTATTTGAATTTAGAAAGTGTAAATCTCTTTTTGTTTTTCCTTTGGTACTTAAGAGGGTTTAACATCCAGCTTAAAAACGCACAAAAGCAATAAGTAATAAGTGCAAGTCCACTCACACAATACATTTTTAGCTTCCCAACTGACAAGAAAGCCAGCAAAGTTGACTTGCTTAATTTTTCATGAACAGGAACCATGTTTTTCTTTGTTCACATTGATAATATGCCATTAGGTCTAAAACTGAAATAATAGGGAATTTCTTTTAACAGTCTTAACTATATCGTGGGAGTAATTCTTAATGTTGTTTGCATCTGTATCATTTGGTGATTAAACAGGCAGGTTTCTATAGAGGAAGGTGATAACAAGGCTCGTGAATTTGGAGTCATGTTCATAGAAACCAGCGCAAAAGCAGGATTCAACATCAAGGTGAAAAAAACAACACTATTTTATAGTTATACACATACATGTGTGTATATATATATATATATATATATATACACACACAATATATATATAGTTAAAGAATCACTGTAGTTTGCAGACTAATTTCTCTCTTCTATAATTTATTCCCGAGGGAAAGTATTGTCAATGTTGATCTAATTCTTTTGCATGCTTGATCTTGACACATCATGTTTTTATTTAGAAGCATTGGTATTCGATACTTTCTCCTCATTTTGTTGTAAACATCCTTGTTAACTTCCAGTTTCATTATGAATATGAAATTGCAGCCTCTATTCCGCAAGATTGCTGCTGCCTTACCAGGGATGGAAACGCTTTCTTCAACAAAACAGGAAGACATGGTTGACGTGAACTTGAAGCCCACCGTCAATTCATCCCAGAAGACAGAGCAGCAAGGAGGGGGTTGTGCGTGTTAAGAGAAATGTATTTACTAATAACCCAAGAGAGAAAAGTAAGCATTCAAGCAGTTGATTCAACCATCAAATACCCAAGTAAATTTAGCAAACACGGTAAAGGATTTTGGTCGTGCGGTAGATTGTTTTCATCTCTTAATGTTATTTTCCTCATAGTTTACGGAACTTTTCTTCAACTCTTCTTCCATGCATCGCATAGTAAGTAGAGTAAAACTATTTTATTTGTCTCAGAAATTTCCGTCTAGGATAGCCATTCATTGTGTGATTGGGATTGGGGTTTTTAACGTTCAAAATTATTCTTTTATGAGAATTTTCTACACATTCCATTCTATATAAAATGATACTGAAAATGAAAGCATTGTTCTGCGTAAAAGGTTACATTATATCTGGTATTGTTTTTTTTTCTAGAAAAATAAGTGCTTACAAGGTGGGGTGGGGCAACAAACTACATTTTAAAATGATAAAAGACGAGAATTTTGACCATAATTTGGATAGAAAGAGTGATTAACAGCTCAAAGTTTCACAGCTTGAGAAGATCCAAGGTTTTGGACTTTTGGGTTAAATGTTTAACCAAATCCAAGTCCACCCCGACAACCAGTGCCCTTTGAGATTGACAGCCATCATCGAGTCATAAAGATAAAAGCCCATTTTTTTAAATAGGCCCACGCATGGATACGCTGTTTAGAGTTATCCTAGTTTATAGGTATTTTTTCCTATCATCAAACCAAAACAAGATTTATGGGTGTTGCTATTATAACTTGTAAGATTCCTGGTGTCGAGAGGGAAGGAGATGGAAAGTACAGTTGTAACAGCCAATTTCTCTATCTTTATATATATATATATATATATATATATAAACTTTAAGCTATCCAAATTTGAGCTTGAACATTAAAACTAAAAATACTTGCACTACGAAAAATCTTACAATCTATCAATATGTCATTAGTCATTAGATCAATTTTCATGTTATTATTACCATTACAATTTTGAAGTTTGTTTCTATGTCAAGGTAACTATCTTAAACAACCTCCCCAAAAACATGCCAAATGGACAATAACATCAGCCCTTATAGCTTTTACTCAATTACCAACTAGACGCGCTAGGCAACCTATCAGTTCATAATCAAGTTTTCTGGGAGACTTTTGGTTTATGAACAAGACACAACAAGAATTTAGTAAACTCTTACCCTTTTAACCCAAATTTCCCTCCTAGGTTTTTGTCTTAATGAACCTCTTAACTGTTCCTTACACTAGTCAATTGCTACATTCTCAGCACAAGTTAAAGCACACTTTTCCGATGTATCGTAAACTCAAATCACTAGTCACATTTACAGTGGAAACTCGAAAAATGAAAACAAATATATTGACATTAAAAAGCTGAACTTAAAGCAGCTGTTCTCAAGACACAATAGTTGTCAAGAAATTTCAAGAAAAACAAGTTCAAGCATAAATTAGAGGGAGATGAAAGTGGAGGTACTAGACATGATTAAACCCATCAATAGTTTGTCTAACTCTCAGCGTCAGATAAATCAATATCAATGTCCCCACACTTGACCTGAACCAAAGAAGAAACAATGAGTCCATGATTGAAAGAGACAGAAGAAAAAGAAAGAACCAAAAGTGCAAATCTGATTAATTGTTAGTACTAGGAAACTTGTGATTGCTTTCGTTTACCATGTGCAATAGTGCCAGCAAGCCAACAAGAAATGTGCCAAACCATTTCAATGTAGGGATATTAGACTCTATCAGGTTACGACAGGTGGCATGGCATTTGTGCTTTATATGATGGATAGGCAATGCATGGTGTTCATTCAAACATTTCACCAATTTTTTAGATGAATCATAAATTTAGTTACTAGATGCATGATGCTTGGCTATCTTATTCCTTGAGAGAACAAAAAAAAAAAAAAGACTATAGCTCAAACTGATGGTTCTTAGTGGTTGCTCTCATGATTGGCGCTTGGACTAGACAACTGACTCCTCCACTGTAGAATAATAGATAGATAAGAAAAGAAAAACGAACATATGAAAAGATCAATTTACTAAGTGTTACAGAATCATAGAAATGCAGATTACACTTATTTCACTATGGCATCAGGTTAATATTATGTTCACCATCCAGAGTAGACTAATGGACAAACAATAAAGCTTCATCAGACTAACGACAGAAAATTCTCTAAAGGGATGTTAAACTTAGACTGAACTATCACATACTTATTATTTACTATATTTTAGATTTCCATGTATTGCATTAATGCTTTCTATTTTTGATCTCCCTAACATCCCAAACCTACTTGTTCTATGCAAAATATTTCCTCCTTAGTTGTCAAATGGTTCCTAAACATTTTCATTTTTGAATATCTACTGGTTCCAAATAGTTGACATTTACATATTCTTTTCACTCCTCTATCACATTAGATTTCAAAAATGTCTTAATAATGACTTCGCCTACCATAAAATTTTAATGTTGTAAACTGCAATCACACTTTGACTTCTTAAACTAAATATATCTGCAACAAATCTACATACAAGATAGCACCATAGGGTTGATGTTTGGCACAATATTATCACTAATTGGGTTATTTTAAAGATGTTATAACAGTGATTCAAATCTTGTCTTACTAAACGAAAGTATCAATTAATGAAAATTTTGTAGTTTGAAAATAAACTGCTTGTTTGCAAGGAATCCAGAGCTTACAAGATTGAGAAAAGGAGGACTATCTTCCTTGAATCAAATGATGCAACTCGTTTATATCTTCTCCATCTGTTTGTTGGTGCATCGTGAACTCTCTCAGTTGATGATTTGTCTGTTCCAATCAAACTCAGTTTTTAGTTGTAAACACATTCTGCATGGCATGAGTAAGGGGTACCCTATGGAATGAGGAATCAAAATGCAATATGCATAACCAAAACGAACTAGACAGATCCTAAATGTGATACATAAAATACCGCACAGAAAAGGTAGCAGACAATTCCAAAAATAATTACAAAAATCACATAGTTAAACCAAAGTTTACTGATCAAGAGAAATAATTAAATAGAGTTCAATCTTTGAATTCTTCAAAGCCCTTTGAAGTAACAGTTCCACATAGCTTTGTCAAGTATCAACCGCAGGTCTGTTCACTGTCTATACTTGGTTCATTTGTTCTCAATTGTTAGTTCACTGGAATTGCATATGTCAAATGAAGTTCTTTTGTCAATTTTAATCTTCTTGATGGTTAAAGTTTAGGCCTGCAAGCGGGGTTACACGAAGATTAACATTTTTTTTCTACTCCAATGGCATCCATGTGAACAGATTACCATGGGAACCTCTGGTTTCTGCTAATTATCATAAATCTCGTTCAATTTGTTAAAAGTGCATGTTTGATATCAAACCACCACATGAAATGATACGCCTGAAACATTAGAAACCTGAATTGCTTTATAACAGCTTGCTTACAAGCAGAATATTCTTTGGATGTTTTCTTGTTTCTTGTTTAAAAGAAACTGTCAGCCATATATTACACTAAAGAATGCAATCACAACTAAATCATGGAAATGGAAAATGAATCCATAAGTTATTTATGGGGGACATAAGGAAATTACTGTTCAAAAAAGTACATGTAAATAATAGAATATGCTGACAAGACCTCACGGAGTAAGTTTTAGTGCAATTAACCCACAAATAGTTCAAAGTTGACTGAAGTCTCACCTACATTTGAGCTTGCTTGCCTTTGTAACACCTTCTGCAAATGCTGTAATTCATTGAGATCTAATATTAGTGTCAAGAGTGAAGGAAAAAAAGATTAAGACTCAAGGGGAAAATCAGCAATGCTTTGATGATTAAATAATTAAATTTGGAATATCCCAGACTGTGTATGATCAGCAATTCACAGAATATGCCCTTTAAAAAGAAGAGAAATTTTCTAAAAGATTAATGCTATAAAGATAGGTAAATCGAACTTACTGTAACTACGCCTTCACTTTTTGAATTGCCAACAGTTTCATCACTGGATTTAAGTATGTCAGGAGTCTCTTTCTCAATGTTTGTATCCAGAATGCAAGATGAATAAGCATCTTCACTATCCACTTTCAAATCGATGTAGTTCTGGCAACTCAATTGCGCATCTAGACACATATGGTTTTTTGATGAAAAAGGAACATCTAAGAGGCTCAAAAAAGTTAACTGTGGTGTACATTTTGGACTCGTGTTTCCTTCCTCAGGCAACAAAGAAATGCTATAGACATCCTGGCCCTGCACAAAGGAATTGAAAAAAAAATAGGAGTGAGCAGAGAAACTGTCAAAGCACAACTCAATTAATTTCCAAATTCTCATTTTAAAGAAATTTATTTTTGAGAAAGAACAAAAAGTTTGAACTAACTTTTAAACACAGATTATTGGGATCAGAAATTTTGTTTGGAAAGTATAGAATCTAGAAAATAACAAAAATGGAAGCCATAAAGGAAATTATTAGACAAGAAAAGGAATTCAGACTTAAGCATTAAATCTCATGGGTCATGGGACATGACCAGATTTGAAGTATTCAAAACGTGTTCCATCATGAGATCATCTCAATGGACTGGCAGTGGTGTACACTCTATCTAAGTTCCATTTTATGGGAATTTTCTCTTCTCCTAAAATATAACTGAACTGATCTGATTGAAAGAACAGAGGAAAAAGAGGGATTTCAAGATCATGCTGATTCCTGAGAAGATCGAAGATAACTCAAGACTGCAGAAGATTAGGAATGAACTTACATGTAAAGTGTTTAAGCTGCATTTTTCTCTTACTGGAAATGAAGTTTCCTCTATTAGAATAGGCAAGACATCTGAAATTCCAATAAAGGAAATTCATTAAACATGCTTAGCGAACTGAGGGCATTGAATACACTATATCTGACATGAATATCCTTACCAAGAGAACAATGCTGGTTTGTCTCGTCACAGCTTGGCTTAATCAACTCAAAGCATGAAACGTTGACTGGTAAATTGGTGCTTCCATCCACCATCCCTAATAAGAATGGTTTTTCCTGGAAGCAATTGTGTTAAAATAAAGCATTGCAAAACAAACTTTGATAAAGAAGATGACATAACAAAGAAGAAAAACATCTCTTCTTTTTCTTTTTTCATTTTTGGGCTCTTTCCAAACTAAAGCACAAGTGGGTGTCAAGTTAAATGTGAGACTGATATGATTTTGAAATTCCATTCTAAGTCATGGCTGATTTTCTATATTATCTTCAGATTCATTAATGGATGACATTTTACCATAACAATTCAAAGGAAAAAGAACCAAATTTGCTAATTTGCAGAGATGAAGAATTTTTATAATTTTCATTTTCCTTTCTTTTTTCGATGTGAACGAGAAAAAATCAACAACATAATCATATATAAATAGGCACTAGGCAATACAAGAAAGTCTAGGTCATCATAACCACACTAAAAAATTTTCTTAAGAGAAACAAAGCCATTCCAATAGGCCAAGAAACTGAAGAAAATGAAAGAAATTGAAGTGAAAGTATCTTCTTTTTCCTACATTTTCGCAGCTACAAAACAGGAAATTCATATTTAAAAAAAAAAAAAAAGCAATAGAAGTTAGACTAGATCATAACGGCCATGAATGAGCCGCTATAAGAAATTTCCACCAGCCCTGAAAAAAAAAAAAGAATGAAATGCAAACCGGAGAAATTCAAGAAATTTTGAAGTATAAAATTCATTAATTTTTTACCACATTTTCTCAACCGGCAAATCTAGCAAACACTCATTTTTCCAAAAAAAAAAAAAACTCAAAGAAACTTGAGACTTAATCCAAAATTAGAAATTCTATTTCCAAAAACAGCTCCAATTTAACAACAGAAACGGAAAAGAATCAAGAGCTACGCATTCCAAAATTAAAAAAAAAAAAAAAAAAAATCTCACCTCCCCGATCGATTTAGCTGTCATTGAAGGAAAGAAAAAAAAGAGCGACAGAGTGATAAAATCTGAGAATATTTCAAAAATAAAGCATTGCAAAACAAACTTTGATAAAGAAGATGACATAACAAAGAAGCAAAACATCTCTTCTTTTTGTTTTTTCATTTTTGGGCTCTTTCCAAACTAAAAGCACAAGTGGGTGTCAAGTTAAATGTGAGACTGATATGATTTTGAAATTCCATTCTAAGTCATGGCTGATTTTCTATATTCAGATTCATTAATGGATGACATTTTACCATAACAATTCAAAGGAAAAAGAACCAAATTTGCTAATTTGCGGAGATGAAGAATTTTTATAATTTTCATTTTCCTTTCTTTTTTCAATGTGAACGAGAAAAAATCAACAACATAATCATATATAAATAGGCACTAGGCAATACAAGAAAGTCTAGGTCATCATAACCATACTAAAAAATTTTCTTAAGAGAAAAAAAGCCATTCCAATAGGCCAAGAAACTGAAGAAAATGAAAGAAATTGAAGTGATAGTATCTTCCTTTTCCTACATTTTCGCAGCTACAAAACAGGAAATTCATATTTTTCAAAATAAGAAAAAAAAAAAAGCAATGGAAGATAGACTAGATCATAACGGCCATGAATGAGCCGCTATAAGAAATTTCCACCAGCCCTGAAAAAGAAAAAAGGAATGAAATGCAAACCGGAGAAAATACAAGAAATTTTGAAGTATAAAATTCATAAATTTTTTACCACGTTTCTCAACCGGCAAATCTAGCAAACACTCATTTTTCCAAAAAAAAAAAATCAAAGAAACTTGACACTTAATCCAAAATTAGAAATTCTATTTCCAAAAACAGCTCCAATTTAACAACAGAAACAGAAAAGAATCAAGAGCTACACATTCCAAAATAAAAAAATAAAAAAAAATCTCACCTCCCCGATCGATTTAGCGGTCATTGAAGGAAAGAAAAAAAAGAGCGACAGAGTGATAAAATCTGAGAATATTTCAAAAATAAATTTGATTTAATTTTTTTAGTATTAGTTGCTGTGAATTTACAATTCTCTTTATTTATATATAGTATAAAAGACAGAAAAAAAAAAAAAAAAAAAAAAAAAAAAAACGAACGTTAAAAGGCTATATCGGAGGTCGGCGCCATCTGCGACAAAAGGCCCGTGATTACGACTTCGACGACAACGACAAATCATCACCCCTGCCCTTTCTTTTTTATTTGACGTAAATGCCCTTCTCTTCTTTCTCTCATTTTTTTTTAATCACTCTTTCTTTTCTTTTTTATTTCTCTTTAGTGTTGTTACTTATTTCTAATTTATCCCTAAATGGAAATCTTTTAATTTTGAATTAACAAAAATTTTGCTAATGAATAGAAGAATTATGTTTTTTTTTGTCAGATTTATATTAAGTTGGTAAATTAAAAGAATTTGTTACATAAATAAAATATATAAAATTGATGAAATAGTTTGATATTTTACTTATTTAAATAAATATTTTTATTAAAAATTTTGCAATAGAAAATATCGTTTAATAAACATGAAATTTTGTGTAAATGCTATTTTTAACTAAATTTTATTGAATTTTATTAATTTATCAATTTTTAAAAAATTATGACTAGTTAACAAAATCCTTACTATAATTAGAAGTTTGTTTTTTTTTTCTTTTAAATCTATTATAGTGTAAAATTATTTAAAAAATTATAGTGTAAAATTAAAACCATAAAACCTAATATTGTTAAAAAAACCATGAGATGATTTTAAAATTAGTTCTAATATCGATTATCTCACATTCAAATAAATATTAATTTATAACTCTTTTAAAATTGTTTTTAAAAAGTAAAAAAAAAAACTAAAACCTTTATCCAAAATAAATAAAAAGTAGTAAATGGCAACCAAAATTATATCACCATTTTTATAGGCATAACTTATCATTCCAACAACCATGCAAATGATCAACATCTTTGGGTTCATGCTCCATAACAACTCAACATTGAGACATGGAGAAATAATATGGATAAGATTTTTAAAAAATAAAAAAATTTATTTTATAGTGTAAAAGATTGTGAGATTTAAGATTTTGGTGGAACGTGAAATAAGAGTGATAATAGTTCGATTTAAATCGAATTAAGTTTAATTTTTTAAATATTATATAATATTATAAAATTTTAAAAATTTGATATGAATTTTAATTAAATTTTAATTTGATTTGAATTAAATTTTCATTCGATTTAAATTGAATTAAATTTTATCAATTTGATTTGATTTAATTTATTAATTTTTATATTATTTTAATATATTTAAATAAATTTTGATAAAAAATTATTTTTTTTATTTTATAAAAATTTAAAATATATATAATCTAAGAAAAATATATAACTCAATTCAATTTATTTTTTTTTCACTTTCTGATCTTAAATTTAATTTAAATTTAATATATATATTTAATATTTAAATTTAATCTAAAATCAAACAAAATGTTAAAATTTCAAATCAAGTTTTAATTTTTTTTTCTCAAAGGGCAAGTTGAGAAACAGAAAATATTGAGTGGGGGGAGATTTAATAAAAATGGGTACGAGATTTGTCAGGTTGTCCGAACCAAAGCTTTAAAATAAGCTGCACGTGAAGCTACAATCTGAAGAAGAAAAAGAGAAAAAAGGGGGTTTATTATTCGATGCCACTGACACAAGGAGACAAAAGTCAATCAAAAGAGATTCACGGGAATGCAATTCTTTGCACCATTTGGCTAAGCAACCCCGCTTCTATGGACGGCAATGGGTAAGATCGAAGTGAGTTTCTCTCACTTCCAACTCAATTTTATATATATATATATATATATAATATTTAAATTTAATTTGATTTAATTTTTTTAAAATTTTTTTATTTTCAAATTTATTTTTATTTAATATTATATAAAATCATGTTTAATTTTATTCAATTTAAAATTAATAAAATATTATTTTTTTAATGTAAATATAAAATTAATTAATTAAAAAATAATTTTTTATATATATTATTTTATTTTATTATTTGATTCGTTTCAATAATTTAATTTTAAAAATAAAAATAAATTTTAAAAAATTAAATCAAACAACATCAATTGAGTCTGAATCAAATTATATTTTTTTTTTATTAAAACAAAAGTAATTGTTAATATATATATATATATATTACAATTCTAATAAATAAAAAAGAAAGTAATAATTACCCCCAACAACAAATTAATTAGCTCAATTCGTAAGTTTATTCATCTTGATGTAGCTGATTTTATTTCTTCATCAGTCGCACACCATCTTGTCACCTTAAAGAGGTATTATGAACAATCAATTTGCTCAGATTTTATATATATAAAGAGAATGCTATGTATAAAAAAAAAGAAAAAAGAAAAAGAAATCAACTCTTTGAGTGAATTGAATTATGAATTTTTTATTAGGAATTTTCTAAACTACAACCAGTGCAAAGAGAAGCTTTGGCACTTGCTCAACAAATCAATGTAAATAACAGAGAGAAAAAATTATTTTTATTTTTAAAATTTTAATTTACTTTCAACCTTCTATCTTCATTTTATTTAATTTATTCATGAATTTATTTTTTATTTTTTAAGGTATAAATTAATAATTTTAAAAATAATTATTCTAAATTATAAATATTTGCAAAGATAATATGTATTGTAAAATTTTCTTTCTCTTAATCTATCTCTTTCTCTTTTATATGTTGGTTACATTTTTTTTTTTATTTCATCAAAAAGATCCAAATAATTTCACTTTACTTTTAATAACATAAATTTATAGCACTAAGATGTATAATTCACAACATTTTTTCAGTAAAAAAGAAAAACATATTTGTTAAAAAAAATTAAGAATAAAAAAAATACATGAAACCCATAAAAAAATTTTAAAATTATTTTTCAAATACAAAAACCTTAAAGCATATTTTGATTATAGCCAAGACAAAAAAAAAAAAAAGAGTAAATTGTCGATTTTTCATGCCTCTTCCATTCTATTTGACAAAGCTACCATCTCTCTTTGCATCAGAAATGAGAACCTTGGCTGCAGGAATTGCAGCACACAAAAATATCTCTACGATCTTCGTTGAAGAACAATAACTTTTGGTGGGTCTATGTTAAATATATATGCATTTGGAGTTACATGTTTTGTATTTTGAAGGAGAAACATAGGTGTATTTTCATTTTCGTTTTCCCTTTGGTTGGTGGGGTTCCACGAAATTCAATTCCTACCTAACTTTGATAGCATCTTGCTTGAGGTTTAGACTTATCTTTACATTTATCAAGTCCTGCTGGAATTTTGTACTTTTGTGAATCTTTGGAGCTTGAAAAGAAAGAGCTAGCTTTCAATTATTATAAGTAAAGAATGGTATCATTAAAATTTAGAATTTAATTCAATTAATTGATGTTATTATTTAAAAATAATAATATTTAATAGATATAAAATTTAAGTTTCAATACTTGTATTTATTTTTATTTTTTGAAATTTTTTCCGTAAAAAAAGAACGATACCAGTACATGTAAGGCCATGCTAAGGGACATTCCATTGGCACTAATCTTTAACGAAAAAGATTATATATGAGTTTCACTTTTCATTCCTTTACTTTGGCAGAAATTATTGTTATATAAAGAAGTTAAATTAGGATTCAAATATAAGGTCAAGTTTAAGGTAAATACTTCAGATTTTGAGCTAAAAAATGTAGAAGTCTAAGAGGATATCTCAACAATATTGAAATTTGAGACTTCAATCTGGAAATTTTAAGTTCGAATTTTGAGAGAAAAAAAAAAAAGGAAGATGATATATATATATATTTTGTATACTTCAAATACAATCAAAATTTACATATACCAAAAATATAAAACGAGAGTGAAAAACTTTCGATTTCTAAGAGACTTGAAACCTGTTAATTGGCTGAGTTGCATGTTCTAAATCAAGCTTACAATGTTGCTGCCTGCTAGATTTGGGACAACCTCGAATTTGGCTTGACTATGGGAATATTTTGGTCTATCAAATTGTGATAAGCAAAGTCATTTCTTACCTACAATTTTTTAACTTGAAGCTTCATGATTTGAACTCTTGTCCCCGGACTAAAATTTTTGTATTCTATCAATAACTCACGCGCCTGGTTGCAATTCTTTACTAACATTACCAGCACCTAAAACTCAACCTTAATTCCACCCTTACCATCTATCAAATCTTGCTAGAACTGGTACTCTTAAGGACAAGAAGGGAAATGCCATGAAAAAGTTGTGTAGTCCATCAGGGCTTCAAAAGGAAAAGCAACCCCCCCCCCCCCGCCACCCATAAGCCAATGACCTTATATTTCTGGTGGTAAATTTATAGGATAATTAAGGGCAGGACTTGTTCCATGCTTAGAAAATGGTTTGAGAATAGCTTATTTGCACCCCCAGGACCAAATTACAGCTTGAACTTTAGTCATATATACATTATTTATCGCTTTTGTAAAGTTTTTTTTTTTTTGAAAGTTAAAGAAAATATATATTAATAGAGAAAATAGGATAAAGCCATGCTACAAGGTCTGAGCTTCTGTATACACCAAGTTTAGCCAGGGAATCAGCAAAGGCGTTTGCTTCCCTGAATACATGAACGAAAGATACTATCCTGATGCTGGCATAAAGATTGCTGAACCTATTTAAAACGGCATTATACTTCCAGGGGCGTTCAGAGATAGAATTCAATCACGAGGTAACAATCAAGGAATCACTTTCGACTATGATTTCAGGAATGTGATCAATGTTGGGACTAACAATGATTGAAAGAGCTTCCACAACAGCAAGTAATTCAGCAAAATTAGAGTCTTGTATACCTATGTGTTTGGAGAAGAGCAATAGTATCTGGCCTTTGTGATTTTCGACAACCCCTCCAATACCTGTAGGCCCCCGTTTTCCAATTGCAGAGCCATCTACATTAATCTTCCACGCACCCAAAGGAGGAGGTGTCCATATAATATGCTTCTTGACTGCTTTCATCTTGCGCGGGATGGATATATTGTGTAAGTTTGTACCAACATCAATAGAATTGCAGACTGCTTGGGGAAATTTTGCCTTTAACCACCAATGAAGCCTAATGCATATCAAATTAAACAGCTCGTCAGTTGAGAGAACTTTTTGATTGAAGACTTTTTCATTTCTTGCGAGCCATAACGACCAGATGACTGCAAATAACAAGGTAACCCAAATTTGCTTATCGATTTTTTTCACAGAAAGATGACTCCAAGATTGAAATAGAAGACTTAAAGATCCCGGAATAACCCAAGAAGTACAACTTTGCCCACAAAACTTGTTCCAAATTGTCCAAGACAAGTGACAGAAAACAAATAGGTGATCCACCGTTTCGGCGTCTTCGCAGAAGGGGCATTTGTTCGGCACATTGCGTTGGCAGGCTTTGCTTTGCAACACCTCCAGGATCGGAATGCAGCCTTTCAATGCCTACCACACAAAAATTTCGAGTTTTGGAGGAGCCACGCTTTTGTAAAGATTAAGGGTAGTTTTACCATGTACTTAAGCTTTGAATTCAGTATCGTTATAAATTATAATGGAAGAAAGTGTTCTCTCCTTGATAAAATGCCTGCATATGGTTACCGTTAAACGGGAAAGAGAGATTGAGGAGGGCATCAGCAAGCGATTGTCAAGAAAACTTGATCGGCAATGGCAGAAAAACATTGTTGTGAGACCTCCCCCATCTTTGAAGAAATTGCGAAAGCAAGAGGTAGCTGAAGATGTTGAGAAATCTGCAGCTTGAGCCACTCCAAATAGTACTTCACATTTTCATGGCTAGAGAAGGGCTCTTTAAATTGTAGCAGTTTCTAATTTAGACCATTTTGTGCATGAAATTTTGTGTTGAAGCTAGTATTCTTTCTCTTTTTGGTTTACCTGAGATTGTGTATTACCCTATGTCTTCTAATAATCCTTAATTCATTTTTCCTCACTATTGATTCTTATGGTGGCAGGCAAATGAACACCAACTCATATCTCAATAATGTAAATTTTTGTTTCGGGTATCTAAAATATCTGTAAGTATATTTTATTGCTTCTCAGCAAAAAAAAGAATATGTTGGTATTATATTTATTGCTACTTCTATATATTATTATTTGCAAATTTATTGATTAATGTTACTATTACTGTATTGTGCTCAGATAAAACATGAATTTTAGACGCTTACTTATTATGGAAGTCCTTGTCTCTCTATGAGGTTGGGTAAATTCCTTTGCACTGTAAGGTGCATTACGAGAACTTGCTTTGCCTATTTTGCTGCTTCACCAGCAATAGCAATTAAACCGTTGACAAGTTTTTTGATCTATAACAGAATATATGCTATCTTCTTAGAAATTGATTTACTAGTGGAATATTCAAATTAGCAACAAATTTAGGTTATTCTTGCAAAGTTGGTATGTTTTATATGTGTTTTATAACATGCAATTATCAACTTTTAGTCTCACTTTCTTTCACTGTCCTTAGCTGTGAATATGATGTCCTTGCCGATGAGAGTTGAACCAACAAATAATACATGGTAGTTGATGGCTGATATAAAGATCCCAAATGTTCCAAATAGTTATCAAGTATGCTTTGTCATAAATATTTATTACATTATATTTTATATTGCATAGTGATCACTGCATCAAGATTAATTCTTAATTACTTTATTTACCCCAAATCCCATATCATTTGGCATAACCATAGATCTAGAAAAACTATAGTCAATGGTAGCCATGAAAACAGTAATCAAGAAGCTTTACATTTTCCATTAAAAATATGGATCGATCAATTACCCGAAGTTCTAGTGTCATTTTAGAAGAAATCATATAGTCTTTGTTGGTCTTTGTCGTGAGGTAATACAAAAACCTTATATAATAGAGTGATAACTGTGAGTGCACTTGTGTCAAGGCCAATAAGATGCAAATGCATGAACGTCGTCTTATGGAAAGTGAACCTTTTCTACACGTAATTATCATTGACATGGTGAAGATATGATGAAATTAGCATATATTTTCAGACCCCACTTCAATATTTTTTTCTCTGCTTTCTATTGGGTTTGTTGGGTTATGAATAGTTGAAAATGGAGAAGTTGGTGCGCCATGAACTCTGCAAATATGATTCACGTGCACCGGACGTAATAGAAGTATATCTTATTAACTGTTTCTGGTGACCACTCCATTGCAATTCTTTTAATTAGTTGTTTAATAGAGCACTGAATTAACAATGCTGAGAAGCAATAATCTATGTCAATTTTCTATGAGGCTTTTACCGCAGGGATTGTGGTGCACTGCAATATTTAATTTACATTATGTTTTATTTACTTTGACCAACAGTTCATGATCAGGATCATTGATTATTATCAGTTCATCTTAGGAAGTGTTTCAGAGAACATTCATGCTGATAGAAGATGCTGAACGAACATCCATTGGGTCGATGAAGCTATTTGAATCTTGGGTGCGTTTTTTATGTCAACTTTCACATGTTCATACTCAACGTCATTTCATTTGGTTGTACGTTAAAATTAAAATAAACTTAGGTGACAAGATTGCTTAAAACAAATCAATCCATTTTAAAGAACTTCCATGTTCTCCATCACTAGTGAGTGTTTAATTGATCTACATATCTAATGTTTGCGTAAAACAAGTATTTTATGGGGTTGTTTCGTTTTTGAATGGAGATGGAAAGACCGAAAACCATTTATATAAACGTGGCAAAGGAAGTGTATGAAGTCCGAGTTTAGATGCATAGGATGGAAACTTAACTGGGGAATAAGCAAATCAGTTTTTTAGCTGACACTAAAACTATGAGTTTTTCTAATAATAAAATAGTAAGTTGTTTAGGTGACATCACTTACTCTCCAAATTCTTTATTTAAACCCGCTTCTTTTTTGATGTAAAGGGTTGGTATACTGAACTTTAGGAACCCTAGTTGAAGAAGTAATCTCTCTGTTTCCTTCTAAAAAATCTTCTGCTAGTTTTCTTGGTGAAGGTGTTAATCTGTTTTCCCCTTTCTCTAAACACAATTCTTGGTTTCTTTTATGGGTAAAACTTGCGCTGACAGAAAAATGAGGTAAGTGAAGGAGAAAAAAAAGGTGGAGAGTGAGGACACGGTGTTCTTGATGTCGTTGTTGTTAGTTTGACTCTTGGTGGCCATTGATGTGATGTGATGTGATGCTTTATAACTAGTTTAGGTTAGAAATAGCTAACATATCAAGTAAGAAAACAGTGATTTTGGACAAACAAGACCCTGAGTATATAGTCTACATATCCAGAGCAACCATTGTTAAACTAGTATTACATCTGCATAAGCATATCTATCCATGATTCAACATTTTAGGTTGAGTATGTATATAATATATATATATATATATAAACATATCAAGTAAGAAAACAGTGATTTTGGACAAACAAGACCCTGAGTATATAGTCTACATACCCAGAGCAGCCATTGTTAAACTAGTATTACATCTGCAAAAGCATATCTATCCATGATTCAACATTTTAGGTTGAGTATGTATAATATATATATATATATATAGCAATTGGTGTCATTTTCTAATTTCTTGTCTTCCAAAATTCTGTGCATTATAATTTTCATGGTTCTTCATTTTTATTATATGAATTTCCATGATTTATTATTTTTAATTATCCTGTTTTTGTAATGTATGTATGTATCAACCCATGGACTTGTGGACTTTCTTCCTCATCATCACTTGTGTCATCTCTGGGATTTGGAAATAAACGAATAGGTTTGAATTGTAACCCAATGATCATAATGATAGTTTATTATAGACAGAAAGAAAAGGTATGGCAATGGCAACTTGCATGTATGCAAGAAAATACATTCGCCTTCTTCTCTTTCTCATCATCCTCCTCCTTGAACCAGGACAGAGAAGAAAAGGACAAGTGCTACATCAACCAACACCTTTGACGCATTCTTATTAGGGTTAATAAAAAAGAATGTCTTAAGGGTTTCAAGATATATGGTTAGAAGAAGGGATTGCAGCCAGCAAGCTCACTGAATTTTCCACCATATATAAATGGTGGAAAATTCAGTGAGCTTGCTATCTGCCTATGTGGTCAAATAGGTCACCATCGATTCAGTCGCTATATATCTAGCTTTTTAAGTTTTCTTTCTTGCCATCAATCTGAAAGATTCTGATGACAAGCTCTCGCACTACAATATAAGTATATAAAACAGCCACATTTTTTGACTTTCCACCATTGAAATTGGCATCAAAATTGTTCTAGCAATCAATCTTGTAGGTAGGAGGCCACCTTATTCCATAAGATCAAATCTTCTTATTTTCATTTTGAGTCACGCACCCAGTAAATTTTTTCTTCGAAAATAAAATGACCGAGTTAAAGGTTTTAATTTTTTTGAACGAGATAGGGTAAATTTTTACTTAGACATTTCTCTTCCTTTGTATAATCGTACATATGTATACAAAGACATGCATATTTATACATATGCCCATATACATACATACATACATACATACATACATACATACATAACTAATCCAGAGTAGTATTCCATTATTGATGTGTTTGGCTAGAGTGCAAATTCGTAGTGCACAAGTGGGAAAAGGCTCTTAAAATGCGCGATAGATAGCTTAAACTATCAACTTCTTATTAGGCAATACAAACGGACAATTAGGACAATGATCAGATGCCATATCCCTATAATTACATCACCCAATGAAAGTTAACACATTCCTACCGCCACCTTTAGGAAGAAATAGTAAATTAATTATAGACATTAATTATTGGATAATCACATGATTTACTTTGTGGCTTTGTGACTGTGATGCATAATTTCCATGTGCTCAACATTTCTTTTGTGTAGGACAACAGCTAGAGGGAGACCTCGACTAAACACCTTTTTTCATCAATTGAGCTTCCTTTGTTTATGAAAAATTGATCTCATTAATCATCAGTGAAAATTTTAAATTCTATCAACGGATCAGACTTTTTAAGGTCTGTTAAAAAAAAAAAACTAGATTAATTTATTTTATCTACATAAAATTAGAAATGGTCTATTTGCAATTCATGTAATCATAACAGCCTTCCAATAATAGGATCCTAAAATTTAGCAAAACATGGAGAAATGATTTTGTATTCGAAGCATTATCAGTAAACTAACAGTGTTTATAAGAATGGATAAGGAAAAAGGTGCATATATTAAACATAATCATTTCTTTTCGACCATTTTTCATCTATTCCCTCTAAGTTTTTAGAAAGGAAAGCAATGAGAAAAGACTACTACTCTATACATTTTGAGGCAGATCATCAATGGCAGAGATTATGTACATAATCAGACAAATATGATTGGTGAGGTTTAAGCAAACAGAGACAGGGTGCCAGGGAGTGGAGCAAAACCCAGCAGATCATCAGTGGGGTTGTAGTAATATAGCTAGTGCGTAAGCATAAATATATATATTAAGCTAGCCAGAAATATAAACATAAAAAATTAATTTGAGATAAGGACCCATCTGCATAATAGTAATATTAATACGTACAATGATCCATGCAATAATGATCAGTGATGAAATAAGAGGGTTTCAAAGATATCATGGATGACGCTTCAGCAGTTTGTTCTGATGCTGACCACTTACTCCTCCTTCGAAGCTCTTGTTCATTTGTTTTTGCCTGTAAACCAATCTTTATTTAATCAAATATAGTCGTAGTTTTTTTTTTTTTTTCTAAAGAAAAAAATACATACATGTACCATTGAATCAAAATATCAGTTCTAAAAAGCTGATTGGGATATATACATGTTAATTATTTACTTATTTCTATCTAATGGTAGGTTTTACAATAATTGGCACTCTATATACTTTGCCACTTGCTATACTCTCTTTTACTTCTATCCCAAGTTGTAACCTTTACCAAGTACCTCTTTGACACCTTCTAGTCAATTTTTATTAGGATTTAGGATTCCTTTCCACTTTCCCAGTAAACAATTCAAACAGAATTAAAGTTTTTTTATTTAAAAGTTTTGTTCCCCTACCCTAACTCAGAATAGTAATGAATCAGAAATCAAAAGGTTGAAGATGCAATAGGTGTGAAACCAGCCACTCTTCTTGACCTGCTTATATGACATTTTCTATATGTCTTGGTTGATGATATAATAATTCATTCATATTTCTAATGAGCGAGAGATGCTTATGGCAACCTTCTCAGCAATTTGGTTTTAATATGTTTGTGGGTCACCATTGATGTAATGAAGTTATTTTATAATACAAAAATTCAGGGTCCAGTTAGAAAACTGAAAACACAAAGTCAAGTCGAAATAACGTCATTTACAAGTTACAGTAAAAGCGAAAGTCATTTACAAATATATACAGTTGAGATTTCAAGAAGGATTAACCCATTGTTCTGGACGACACAAATATATGAATTATCAAATTTAATAAAAAATAATGTTGTTTTGCCCAAAATAGGAAACCAGTACGTACGTCTGCTTTATCAGGGAATAGAAACTCTATAAATATAGTGAGCATTTGCTCATGGTTGGATTGGAGGGAGGCTGCTGCCAAGTCTTAAGGAAAGAAAATTACATAGATGTTGAAATTAGGAAGGTCTCCTTGTTGTGGTGAAGGTGGTCTTAAAAAAGGTCCTTGGACCCCTGAAGAAGATAAAAAACTTGTCAAATATATCCAAGAAAATGGCCATGGTAGCTGGAGAGCCCTTCCCAAACTTGCTGGTACGAATTGAATCAACTAGCTACCTCTTCCACCCTCTTATTAATTTCTCTCAATCTCCCTACCTGAGATTATTGCTTCTTTGTTATAATTTCTCAGGTCTTAATAGATGTGGGAAAAGTTGCAGGCTGAGATGGACAAATTACTTGAGGCCTGATATCAAGAGGGGGAAATTTTCCCAAGAAGAAGAGCAAACAATTCTCAATATCCATTCCATCCTTGGAAACAAGTAATTTTAACAACCATTTAATTTAATGTAAATTTTTATAAATTTTTAGTTTGTTTTTTGCATCTTGAATAATGTATACTTATTTTTTTCCTTGTTATTCACAAGATGGTCAGCAATTGCAAGCCACCTACATGGGCGAACAGATAATGAAATAAAAAACTTTTGGAACACCCATTTGAAGAAAAAGCTCATCCAAATGGGAATTGATCCGATGACTCATAGGCCTCGAACTGATATCTTTTCAAGCTTGCCTTATCTGACAGCTTTGGCCAACCTAAAAGAGATTCTGGATCAGCACCCATGGGAGGAACAAGCTGTAAGGCAACAAGCAGAAGCTGTTCAAATGGCTATGCTGCAATGCTTGCAATATCTTCTTCAAACCCCAGCTTCCATTTCATATGGCTCTAAAAACATGCACAACACTTTCACTGATATGGAGACTATTAATCTTTTAAACTCACTTTCTCCAATCAAGGATAACTCAGTTTTAAGTTCACTCCAGCAGGATGTAGCAGCTACTTCGTTTCACGATTTCAATGATTCAATCCCTTTCCCTCGTTTAACAGACCTACAAATCCATTGTGAATATGGAACAACTAAGAGCAAGGACACGGGTCAAGCTCAAGAGTACACAGTGTTGAGCCAAGTAGAGAATAAATGCAATTCACCATGGCTCACTCCATCTGCAACTCCTTCACCTTATATGATTCCACCTATAACAGAGATTTTGATCAACAATTTGGGGGATGCTTCCTGTTCTTCAACCTATGGTGGAGCTGCGCCTTCAGTTTGGACTGATGATCACCTAATCTTTGAATACCCTTTGTTTCATGAGCGTGCTTAGCTTAATTTTGTTGAATATGTTTGAAATCCCAAAAAAAAAAAAAAAGGTTTGCAGTTACTCCACTTCTCTTTTCTGTGTACTTGTTTCTGCACACATACTATTCATTATATATGTGGACAATCTTTTCTAAAACATCAAAGACTACATTAATATATATAATTATATATAGATGAGATGAGATGAGATAGCCTTTGCATGTTTTTACATACGTTTTCTGTTTTTGGAAAAAATTTTTAAATCTGCAGTTCACCCCACTATATATGCATGTTTCAAGGCAATACTCCCTCAATTTCTTGCATTTCTTCAAGGTAAATTCAAGTCAAAATGTTTAATCTTTTTAAATTCCAGGCTTCAGTGTACTGTAGGAAAGAAATGTTCCTTCTTCTTCCACTCGTCTTTTTTTCCTATTTTTCAGCTGCCCCAAACAACAATAAACCTATAGCTCATTCAAGGTGTAGCAATGGTAGAACCTGGTAAATTCTATTGCTATTTACTATAGAGAAGTGGACCCTACCAATAATAAAAAGCTCTCACATCTTTACTTTCCTGTTCATTTTTTTTTTTTTTAAATTTTGGGTGGGGTAAAAGGAATCTAGCTAGAAAAACAAAGCTAGTTTTACGTACATGTTTGCTGCAAATTAGCAAGCAGATCACTCGTTTTCTTACAATTTAGAAACTTGTTGACATTACATACAGATCGTTTTCATTGAACATATCCCTTATTGCATTCATTTAAATTGCTAAGAAATTTCAGTTAATGGATGCTTTTGTAACGTTTCAACGCTGTAAATCATTTTCATGACTTCAAGTAAATAGTAATAAACAAATTAAGCGAAGTTTGAAGGAAAAACACAATGAAGAAAACCTACAAAAACAATTAAATTCTTAGGTTACGCATGAAGCTCGTTCTTTGTCTTGCAGTTCATACAAGAAAAAAATAAGTTTTTCTTTCCTGCTTGATTCTTTGCCCTACTTTTGATGTTTATATGTTCCTACTGTTCTTGATTACTTTATAAATTAAATAAATCACTATATAATTTAGGGTAAGTTGGGGTCAAGACATTGACCTAACCTTCTGATCCAACCACTCTTGAAGAATAAGCAGTACTGGAATGAAAGAATTCCTTTGATTTTGATCATTATATATCTTGTTCATCAAATAATTAAGTGCTTTGTTTTCAAGTAGGTGTTTCGTATTGCTTCTATTGATTGCATCGAAACTTTACTTGCTAGCTTTTACTAGCTTTGTAACCTTTTGAATGCTTTAATAAACTTGGTTTAAGAAAAAATGGAAAAACAAGTGCTTTGTTCTTAAAGCATGAGAAGCGAATTTTTATTCAGATTTTTTAACTAATTACTTGGGTCGGGAAGATAAGTTTGGAATTCGACAACTTTATTCCCCTTTAAATGATTTACTTAAATTTTTACATAATGATCATAATGAAATATTTAAGGCACGAGCCTATGTACGTAGTCAAAGCGGGCAACCGCACTCTTTAGCACCTAATAAGTGCTTTGTAGGAAAAGGATCCAACTCTTTTTATTTTTCGATTATATTATCCATATGATCGTTAAGTTTGTGAAGATTAGTTAGTACTTTTGGAAGAAAAATTGAATGGCTAAACAGTTCAAAACCAGATTAAATCTTTGTTTCCCAGTCCTGACTCTGAATTTTTGTGGTTATTAGTTGAGCATGCCCTTCTTCAAGAGCTTTCCTTGAAAACATGTCGATGTTCTCAACTGGCAGCAGGTAACGACGTCGCCGACCTAGCCAGGGGAGGCAACTGGATTTGGATTAAACCTTGAGTCTGACCTTTAAAATTAGAGTTAGGTTTTGTAATCGATTTTGAGTTTCTTAATGATCATCCCTATATAAACACATTATAATTATAACACTTTTTAACGTAATTGGATTCACCTGGAAGGTTGTATTCTCTCTTTTTTTTTTCCATTAAAAGATCGAATTAAGGACTTAAGGTTTATCCAACATTAACTTGAGTCGCCAAATCATTGTCATTGAAGCAATTCTTTCTGGCCAAAATTGAGGCAAATTCAAAAAGATAAAAAAAAAAAAAAGTCAATTAGAAGTTAATGACTGTTGTAAGTTTAATTAACTTGCAATTTTTTTTTATACATATAAAGCCATAATTTAACTATAAAAAAAATATTACAACCGTTAAGATTTAAATTTTAAATTTATTTAATATCATCTTTTAAAATTAATTATACGAATCAAGCAAGTCTAATTTGTAAACTTGCTTATTAATAATACTTAACTTTCATCTTTTATGATCAATAATTTGAGTAAAAAATCAGACATGAAAGCAATAGTTCGGGACCCCGAATATATGTCGATTTCTTGGGAGAGTGGTTGGTTTTATTCCTTTTCTTACAAGGGATTGACTGTAATAATTTTAACCGAACCATTAACCTCACTAATTTTTTCTTTGAAAGCAAGAGAGATTAGATGCCGTGTTCTACTAACCCAAATCCAAAAAGAAATGGAATGGTGTGTTAAGGGTGCATAATTATCGAAATATTTTATTAAAGCCAATAACTCTTTTTTTTTTTTAATTTGTTACATTACCAATGATAACTCAAAGATATATAACATTCAATTTTTTTTTGTCCACCATTCTTTTCTTTGTCTAAAAATAACCTTTTAGTTACAGAAATATTTTATGAATTAATTGTATAATAATAAAATATTTTGTCGATATTAATTTTTTTGACAAAATACTTTTAACATCTTGAAAATTTTTTACCATAATTCTATAAAAAAATTTCATATTTTTTTTTACGACGGGGCTTAATCTCAAGAGTTTTAAGTTCAAATCTCAAACTTTTTATAATTAAAAGTTTTTTTTTTTTTTTTTAAAGAGTTAGATGCAAAATACAATTATGATCGGTAGAACAACAAGGTTTGACTGTTGCCCAATTGGATAATGCACGTTAGAAATTTCCAACCTACCTTAGGCTTCAAGTTAAAGACCAATTTCGGATTTGGGATGTCAAGCCATACTTAACCAAGGCCCGAGCCGAATTTCTAGAGTCTTTCGGGCTGGGTCGAGTTTGGTATGGAAAGTCAAACCCAATTTGGCCCAGTAATGACTTTGAACTCATATGATTACTTTCTGAAAAATTCAACCACTACCAATGAAGTAGAGACTTTTTTCTTTTTGTTTTTTTCTTTGAATGTTGACGTTGCTCACTTTTTCTAATTTTCTGTCGTAATCGCTCGCGTCACCCACACGAATTTCCTCGGCAAAATGACGTGCTAGTCTGTGGCGCCAGCTGGCTATCTCTTCCACTAAGCAAACCCAATTTTGACGCCTTCAACAAGTGTGGCTGAGTGACTGCTTCCAAACAACTTCGTTTAGTCAAAATTTCTAGTTGGCATAGTTTTTCTTTGTTTCTTTTAAAGTAAAATATTAAAAGTCACTAAATTTTATTACTTTATTTAGATAAAATTTTCTATTTTTGTTGTACTCAATTATTAACGTAAATATAAATAATAAAAAAAATAAGTAAACAAAATATTTTTTATTAAAATAAATAATATAAAATAATTCAAAATTATGATCTAATATAATTTTAGTTTTAGTCTTTTATACAGTTGTACTGAGCTATTATTGTTTAATTTATATTCAAATATATTTTTAATTTTAAAAAAATTAATTTATGTTAAAGACTTATTTAAATATAAATTATAATATAAGTATTTATTTAAATACAACTTTAACTATTTATTTGAGTGTAAAATAAAATTTAAAGATTTATTTAAATACAATAAAAAAATAAAATACATATCTAAACAAAGTCATAAAGTTCAATAAAACTTTTTAATAAATAATGTTTGTTTACATGGCTATTACTATTTGTAAATCTTAAAATGATGTACTAATATTTTTAATTAAACTTATTTAACTATTAACGATTCTTTTCATTAACATTCATAAAATACCACAAAAATTAAAATTACAATGTTTAAATTCAATCAAATCAAATTATAATTGCAAATTCAACCTTTATTTATAATACACAGACAAAATTGTTCTTTATCCCTATATATTATATATAAATATATATTAGCTAATTTTTTAATAAATATGTACCAATTTTATATATTTCCATTATTTAATTATAATTCAATAATTTTTTATATTTCAACCAAAAACAAATATATTTCCGTTGAAGTTTAGGGACGTTTGAATGTGAAAAGCATCTTGCTTGGTAGAAAGCCAAAAGACAAAAGAGAATTTGTGGTTACTATGATCTCTTGCTCGCTTTGCTCTTTTCTTCACTCAAATATTATTATTGATTTATTTCCACTATTTAAATAAAACGTTCATACTATAAACAAAAAAAAAATACACATAGGTCCAAAAAAAATGATGTCCAAGTCCAACAATGGCCCAACAGTTTCTCTGGCCCGCAACCTCCACGCAACTGTTTGAATGGTCAAGATGTCATCTGAAATCTGCACGTGTCAATTTCGACGTACTTGCTCTTGTCGTCTTTTTCAAAGTAAAATACAATACAAAGACCAAAGCTTTTTTACTTTCTCTGTCTTTAAGCTTATCAATCTTCACGAACCCATAAACAAAATGTCGAATCCCGGAGAACTTTTTTCTATATCGCCGGAATATACCATCAGCGGAGGACCCTCTCACCTGCAACAGGATCCGATGGGCTGTGCCGATCCACATGTCCCACTCCAAAACCTCTCAACAGTAAAAAGTAGAATGGATTCCCTGCAATATTTCCTATCTCAATCGGTCAACGCCAACACTTTGATCTCCAAAGATCAGATGGACCTCGTTTCCTCCGAAATCGCCTCCGCCATCCAACAAATTATCGTCAATGGCGCCGCCCTCCTTTCTTGCGCCCAAATAACCAATTACCCGAATCCGACTCCGATCCCAAACCAGACTCCAGATCCGAAACCCGAGTTGGACGATTACGATGAAGGAGTGTCCGAGATAATCGAGTTAGACGCGGTGGAGTTGCTTTCGGAACATTTACATTTCTGTGAAATTTGCGGGAAAGGGTTCAAACGTGACGCGAATTTACGGATGCATATGAGGGCTCACGGAAATCAGTATAAAACTCCCGAGGCATTAGCGAAAAAATCAGAGAACAAATGGGAAGTGAAGAATTCTGGTCGGAACATCCGATTTTCGTGCCCGTATGACGGGTGTAATAGGAACAAGAAACATCACAAGTTTAGGCCGTTGAAATCAGTTATTTGTGTAAGGAATCATTTCAAGAGAAGTCATTGTCCGAAAATGTTTCGTTGCAATAGGTGTCATAAGAAGAGTTTCTCGGTTTTGACCGATTTGAAGGGCCATTTGAAGCATTGTGGCGGTGTGGAAGAGAGTAAGAAATGGAAGTGTAGTTGTGGGAATAGTTTTTCTAGGAAAGATAAGCTTTTCGGACACTTGTCGTTGTTCGAAGGGCATATGCCAGCAGTCACGGAGGAGAAGGAGGATCGGAAGTTGAAAGGAGTGGTAGCAATGGAGGAAGATGAGGAAAAGGAAGAGGAGTTGATGGAGAGTAAAAGGTGTTTGGAAGATGAGTTTTTTGACGGTTTGCTTGATGGGTTTGGATCTTTTGAGAATTACTGTTTGCAAGATTTGTTGTGATCGTCTCTCATGATGGCTTTTAGCATTTCGGGATTTAGGTAATACTTTTTTTTTTTTTTCTGTTTCTTTCATCTTCATGTACTTTTTTTGTTATAATTCTTTGTAAAAAGAGTGTAGGTATTGATTTTTTTCAATAATCTCTGTTGTAACATATAGTAGTGTTAACTTCTTGTGACAATAGCATGTTCTTCCTATTGTTCTTTTACTTGCAGAAATAAAGGATGGATTATGTTTGATTAATGTGAGTTTTTGATTCATTGTGGATAAAATATAGGTTCACTGATTTTGTGATATGCAGATTGAATGTTATTGATTGTTTCTTCTTTTGACATAGTGTAAACTCTACTCCTGAGAAAGTTCAATTCGACCTTTTATACTTCAAATAAGGAAATGAATGGCTGGGGAGCTAAAGGGATCAAAATTATAGTTGTAGAATTATGTTAGTGCTCTTATGTCACCGGTCACCAATAGTTGTCCAACTTTGTAGCCATATGGATTGGGTAAAATGATTATCAGGTTGCTGAGTTTCACTATCTATTTACTATATGTTGCCTAATAGGGGTTGGAATCATTTTGGAGGAACAAGGTCACTTCTATCTTATCCAATTTTTTCTTTTATTATTTACTTTTCTCTGTTTCCCCAGCAGAGAAGGAGGGGGGGGGGCGCAGAATCCTGGACCATGACCTGCTAGCAACCACTAAGAGAAGCAGAGAAGCCTAGATTCAATTGTATTGAATGGAATGGAGAAAATAAATACTAGCATGGGAACCCAACAAGTTTGTGATTCAAGCAAGTTGAGTTGTGTAGAATTTAGTCCAAAAGATGAGGTCAAGTGCTACACTGGCTTCTGAGTTTTCTGATGATTAAATCCTTTATATAATTATCAAAATAAACTTATCTCATGATTAGATATGAGATTAATCGCCAGATTAACCACAGCAAGGTTTCCTGTTACCATTCACTTCTTGCCTGAAGTTTCATTGGCTTCATGGTCCCCTTAGAGCTTCTCATTGTAGCCATATTATTTATTGTATGTAATAATTGATGGAATGCTGCTGCTTGGGCTATGCCTTTCAGTTCTCTATTTGGTGTTTGTGTGAGTTTTTGACACTATGCTGTGTGTGTACGTACCATTTCAATTTCTTTTTGTTGGACATCACTCTCAGCATGGAAAAACTAATCCTGATTTTGCTGTTATTATTGAGAGGATGCCATTGGTATCTAGAACCACATTTCTTTACTGTCTTACATTTTGTTGGTATCAATAGAAGTTACATCTGAAGTTTCCTAACCATAGTTGACGGTTATCTTGAGACGGTTGACTGAGAATACAAGGCTCTGTAGAATTTCACAGTGTGCATTCATCTTAGATGATGGGAACTGTCTTAGGTATAGCCTCCCCAGTGGCCAAGGTCTTCATTTGTCTTCTTTGCCAAGTCTGTCCTTTTTCTCCCGGGTAAAAAAAGGAGTGTCCTCTGCTTCAATATCAACTGCTGCACAAATTTTTCTTCAATGGGGGAGCCAAATTTAAGTTTGATTCAATCTGTAATGCCACATTGTTTCCATCAACAATTCCAAGTGTCAAATAACACTGAGCAAGTATTGGTTTTTAATAGAACTGAGATGAAGTTGCTTGCTGAATTCTGAACCCCCCCTTAAAAAAAAGTTGAAATGCCATGATTCGTTTTTACTTCGTTCTTGAGCTCATGTACCTTGATATAGATATAACACAGGATAATTCTTGCAAGTATAACGCAGAGAAAGAAGTTGTAAACTGTGCATGTAATCCCTGCAAGTCCATTGAAGATTCATACAATGCAAGTTGGTAGAGTTGATAAATCTCACTGACATTATATAAAAATTTTTTCAATATAATACATCACAAAACTGTAGCATTTATTAATAATTTTCAAGAATTGTAATTAGATTGATTAATCAATTATTCCATTTCTTTTTCATAAATTCAGGCATTTAACTTCTTTATTTTTCTCCATCAAATTTTATAGTCCACCTTAGATTGAATGGTTTATCTTCGGGATTTTTTTATTGTTATTCACCGATCATTTAATTCTCAAAGTTCAAGCATATTTGGGGACGAGTTTTTTTTTATTTTACAATAAAAAAATTAAAATCCCCAATTTTTCAAATAAGTTTACGGAATAAGATTTGATATATGCACATTTATATCTAATTTATTTTATATTAAATATGTAAAAAATATAAAAATTATAATATCATAATTTATATTGATAAATTAAATACGAAATATTTTTTAATTTTATAAAATTTATGGATATTTTTAAATTTTAAATTATATAATTTTTTTTATTTTTTATATTATTTTCATATTATATGTATTGTGTTTAAAATTGGCATTACCACGAGACACCGAGTCAGTTTTCGAAACAGGTTAATTTGCGTTAAATTTAAAGTGAAGATTTGCAAGGATGCGGAGAAGGTGGTAATTTTGGAGGTAGAAACAGATAAAGAAACGCGTTTAACCAGCTTTATAATTTTGAAATAGGAAGGTGGATATACGACAAACTCTGATGTGCATCATCAGATTCAGAGTTCACACTGTGTTGACTTGACTAGCTTAGGCCTAGACCGGGACCCAGGTTGTCACTTCAACAAGGTTTATTTGACTAAGATAAAAAAAATTTGACCACTATAATGAGATCTTTCCAACCGACCTAATTAGCTTTTTAATAAAAAAATTATAAATATTAAACTTTAAATTTAATCAATTAAAAGAAAAAAAGAATGACAAATTTGACGATTATTGGCAACGAAATTATAATTATTTTGAAAATTTTCAAGTTGTTTACTTGATTCTTCTTCAATTTCAAATTTATTTTTAATAATTATATAAACATTATAAAAAATAAACCTATGTTTTATATAAAATTATATATAAATATTGTAATGATGAGATGAACGTTGTCAAAATAATCTCTCTGTCTTAATTTTAAATAAGATAATCTGTGTTTGTAAAAACAAAAATAATCTATGTACTTTAACACTCATTTATATTTTAAAATGGTTGATAACATCATCAAATAAGACCATTATCTATGTTAATGAGAAATTAAATGATGCGAAATATAAAAATATTTTATTTTGTTGGGGGTTAAATTTTAATTAAAATTTCAAAAATTATTTTATTTAATTTTTAAGGAATAAATTTTATTAAATATGAATTAAAAATAAAAAGTAAATTAAAATTAAAATACTTTATTTTTAAAAAAAATTAATTGAGGTAATTTATTTTTAAACAAAAAATAATCTTATAATACAAGGTTTTAGTCACATAAAAGACAAATAGAGTACTAACTTCTCCATTAATCTTTTTTTTTTTTTACCTAAGTCAAAAGAAAACAGAAAAAATGTATACGGCTCAAATATTTTCTATCTATCACATTTCTTTTGTGATTTTTTTTCTAAATTATAAATTACCCATAGATTTTTAAATTTTTGACAAAATTATAAATATAAGAAAACTTATAATTATAATAAAATATTATATTTATATAAAAAATTATTTGATTAAATTTAACAAAAAAAAAAACAACAAACCAACACATAATTAGATAAATCAAATATAAAATTAAATCAAATCACATGTGATAAAAACTTGAATCTAAAATTTTAAAACCTTAACTTATCGTTAAACCATTACAAATATAATAAAAAAATTTTTAATAATGATATTTGATCTTTCAAATTTTATTATTTTAGTATTTCCTTTTTTACTATTTAATCTCGTAGTTTATTATTTTCTATTTTTCACTTTTAGTTTTTCATTATTTTTTCAATATAATTGTATACATTCATTTTGATCCAAGATGATTACATATCATTTTTCAACAATCAAATATGGTCGGGTCTAACTTTAGGTTAAGTTATCAATTTTTGTTTAATTACGTTTTTAATTTGATATGCTTGGGGTTTATGTTATTTTCTGCCTAACCTATTTTTTTGGCTTTTTCTTCGGGTTTTTCATAAAAGTATGGATTTAATTTATGGATGTGTGCCAGGTAAATTGCAAAGCCCGGAATAAAAATAAATAAGGCTCATAAGTGGTTTTTGTCTTCTTCTCTAAATGTTAAAAATGGTAAAATTGCTTATGGAAGATGGCAAATAATAAAAAGGAAATATCCAGCTCAGGCTACCATGGCAGCAAGCTTTTATCAACCTCGAAAACTTTTCATTCCAAATTGTCTCCCTTATTCCCAGCTCTTTGCTTTCACCCTTAATTTCACCTATACAATCTTATGATGATTTGATCAAAAGCTCACTAACCTAAAAGATTCCATTATCTTAGATGCAGTCACTAACACTTTGCTAAGTATCCATTGCTGCATTTGGCAGAAAAGGCTTAAAACAAAAAATAATTATAGTTACTAAAGGTAAATTAAAAGGTTAAAAATAAAGGACTTTTAAATGCCAGGGGACACCAATTTTGAAAAAAGGAAGAGGGAAATCAACCCCGGCATAGAATGAAAACCAAAGAAAATCCCACTATCACACTCCCCACATCCTCGCTCGGCCTTAGCCACAGCATTAACCTTCACGTACTTAATTCCATAGCCACATTAGTCCCATCTCTAACCTCTCAATACCTGGTCTGTATACCCTGACATCATAGCCACACCAACCCCAGCACCGTAACCCCTTTGCCTACACACCCAGTCCCCCATAAACCCAACCTACCATCACCAGTCATTGCACGCGCAAACACCATTCCCTGCGCCCAAACACTTAGTCACCCATAGCCATATTTCAGTCTTGATCTACCAACATAGCCTTGGCATCGTAGCCACCTTCACCTTTACCAAACCAAACATCCTCACCACTGTCCTTATCACCAAGCCGCTATCACCGGCCTTTCCAAAAATTACTCCCAACATCAGAACAAAAACCCATAAAAAAAGCTTACTACCACCACAAAAAAAAACAAAGCTACCCCCTCCTAAGCTACCCAAAAAAGAAAAAAAAACCATCATATCTCACCATCAAACATATATAGAAAAACTATATATATATATATATATATATATATATATATAAGTCACAACCTTTTTATGACTCAGTGGCAAAGAGACAACCAACAAAGAATAAAAACTTTTGGCCAAATACTTTGGAGGTCGATCTAAGAGGTTTAAGAGAGTTTTGGAAGTAAGGGAGCTTGGATTTGGAATCAGAAGACCATCTTTAGAGGGATTTTTTTTAAAAGATTTTTGACATCAACTATGGTGGCCGGTAGTTTGGCATAGCGTCAAATTCTAGGTTTGGCGGGAGGTTTTGAGATTTTTTTTTTTAAAATGAGATTAAAATGAAGTTTAAAATTTTTTTAAAACTTTTATAGTGTTAAAAAAAAACCAAAATGATATCGTAAAGAGGCTTAGGATCTACGAGTGACTCGTGATTTGACTCGACGATCTGTTTCAATCCCAACATTCAACCGATCTAACTAAATTAGACCCGAATCGAAAACAACAGCTAGTACTACTCCAAACTGTCACAAACCACTTGAATCGCGTTGAACCATCCTAGATTGCCCATGGGCCATTGACCAACATGAATGTGTCAATTTTTGGTAATTTTTTTCATTTTTTAATTATTTAAGTTAGTTATTAATGTATATTTATATTTTAAATACTTAGAATAAATGTGTATATTTTAGAACATAAAAGAATTCATGTTTAAAAAAATAAATTAGGGAAAATGCCTATGAAAAAAATATAAAAAAGTGTTAAAAAAATGGCAAAACAAATATAAAAAAAATAATAATAAAAATAAAAAATTTCGAGGATGAGATATTAAAAAAATTTGAGTAGTGATTCTTTAAAATCATTAGGTGAAATTTTTTTTTTTAAATACTATGAAAGTAATAAAGTATTTAAAAAATTATTCAGTATAAAAGATTTTTATTTATTTAATTCTTCTAAGATATATATGACTTAATAATGATAAAAATAATAAATAAATGAATGAATAAAAAAAAGAGATGATAAAAATGTAAAAATGACCTTTTTTTTTAGTATCAAGATTGGTACATGACACATGAATTTTATTTATGATGATTAATCATTTTTGTTTTCAAAAAATATTAATAAGAATAATAATAATAAATTTAAAATTAAAATTAAAGTCAGAATAAAATAAAAATAATAATAATAACAAAAGGGAGGAAACAAAATGAAAATCTCCAAGAATATGATTTTAAGAAAATTTGAATAGAAATTTTTAAGAAATTCTTAAATGAAAAAATTCTTTTAAAATATCGCTAAAGTATTTGGATACTTAAAAAATTTTCAATAAAAAGATTTTTCTTGCTTTGATCCTATAAAAAAATAAATAAAATAAAAAATAATAATTATAATAATTAATATATATAAATTTTAATAATAATGATAATAAATGAATTAGTGAGTAAAATAAAACAAGTAATAAGGAAAATATAACATAAGGAAAAATAAATGAGATGACTACAAATTTTTACACACATACTATATGTTGTCATTTGTATTTCATATAATAATCTCGAAGTAACGTGAATTTTTTATAATGAAATTTTAGATAAATTCGAGTAGTAATTTTTTAAAAAAAATTAAATAAATTTTTTTAAAAATTATTATCAAAATATTGAGATATTTAGATCAAATTTCAAAAAAAAAAAATTCTCGTTTACTTTTTCTCATAAATAAATACTTTTATACAATACAATCATATTATAAATAAATTCATATGCATCATATTCCATTTAAACACACCAACTCTAAAATTTAATTATAAATTCAGTATCTTCCATCTTCAACATATTGAATAGTTTCACCCAAATGGCCATCTCAGAAACAAATCCCACGTGAAAATATGTGTAGTCTCCATGTGAAACAATTCCAGGCATTTAACATAAAATAAATAAATATTTAATGAAATACGTTAATTTTTTAAAAAGTTATTTAAGTGGAGTTGATAAATCTCACTGACATTATATAATTTTTTTTCAATATAATACATAAAAAAAATGTAGCAT